TTCCTGCTTAAAAAAACCCCAGCTTTTATTGATATCAATTTCCAGACATTCAATAAAAAGGCACATCTAATGGAAAGCAAGCACTGATTATAATTTAGCTGCCCATCTCTTGGATTTTTTGGTATATTTTGGTTCTTTAACAACTGATCTTGCCATCTTACTGTGAGACACCACAACTGGAACAGCTGGAAGCACAGCCCTTCCTGAAAGTGCTGTATACACCAGGAATATGCAAAAGAACTCCTGTGCTGTTGTGTAACTTACTGTGTTAAATCTCTTGTACCTGTTGGGATAATAAAATTGTATTATTCATTTAAGAGGATTTTAGGGCAATATCGAAGCCCCACTTACCCATCTCACTACACTGTCCCTGTGATACTTCCTGAAGGACTACTTCCACAGATCAAAGACGCCAACCTTGGGAATGCTTTTGCAACACTAGCATCTGGCCCCTTGGCACACTCTTCTTTGAGATGTGCCAGCTCGGCAGTTGCCTTAAGGTACATCAAATGGTCAGAAATCTAAGATAGTTCACTATCCTGGACATCAGTTTGCCTCTGTCAGCAGTCTTCAGATTTGTCCTCTCTCTTCCTTCAAAGCATCTGGTAACTTGGCACCTGCTTTTCTTACACATAATGGTCAAGGCATTGTGCCTTTCTTATCCAAACCCTGATAAGAAAAGCCTCTGATTTTGCTAAGCAAATAGTTTTTGAAAATACGTCTTTTGTAGTTGGGAAAAAAAGGTAGGGAGAAAAAGCAAGGGGGAAGGAAACAATTTCAGACAGTAAATCCTTCCATATATCTAACTGGAACTGCAGGCAAGTATTCCATATCAACAGTGGGTACAGTTCTGCTCTCACACATTCATTCCCTTGGGAACAGGTTGTGCACCTTGCCTTGCAGAATCAGCAAATACTCACAGAAACACAGCTGTGCTTCTGAAACGTATTCTCAACAGTTTCACAAGTGGCCTCAAAATACACTTTTACCCAGATTTGTTCCTTGATGAAGGCACTTTGATAGAACAAAAATGGTATTACTGGCAGCCAGACATATCCTTATTCATAGATAAAGCTATCCAAATTCTAAACTCCCTCAAACCTGGTCAAGTAGACACTATTGAAGCTTCTATCACTTAACACAATGATCAGTTCCATCCTCCTTCTCATCATTATACACCTGATAGATGGATTTCAGGGAGAGATGCAATTTAGATCCAAGTAGGAAAGGGGGCATGTCTACTGGCCTTCTTCATTCCCTGTCCATTGTGCCAGCCACACTTCTGCTAGGGATGAGATTCCCTGTGGAAATCATAAGTCTTATATCAATTCAAGATTCTTCCTCTGTGGCCAACATTGTAAAAATAGACTTGTTTTATCCATATATATATCTATATAGCTATGAGCCAGTTTAATGCTTTTGGTGCAATATATTCACCAGACAACCCAAACACTAGTTTTTGAGTCAGTGCAGCTGAAGGTCATGAGCAGTTTTCTACTCACTCAGTAATAAAACACCTGAAAATCAAACCAGAAAACAGGATTTTCCCATCAGAATATTAAAACAAACTTTTTAACACTATTTCTGACTGAAAAAATAGCACTCAGGTTTTTGTTAAGTTGCAATTTCTACAGAACACATTACTTGTGAATATATCCTGCCCCACCCCCCAAATACTACATATTCAATAGTAATTGCATCAACTTCTCTAAAACCAGTATACCTCAATCTGAAATTCTAGACCCAGATTTTTTTCTGGAACTCATATCTACATTTCTCTTTTACAGATTTTATTCAATTGCATAATTAATTTAAATAATTTAAGAAAATCAGTTCTTAGCGATATCTTTGCTCATTTTCAGGTCCTCAAGATGCTGAAATAAGCCACAAAATCTGTAACGGTCCCAAACAAAATATTTACATTTTCTACATAATTTCATGATCCCAAAGCTCTTCAGAAATGAATTATGCTTCACTACCCTCCAATAAACTAGGAAGGAATAAAGCATTATATGCTGGAACACACACTTTCTGAGCTTCAAGTTACATATTTCAGGCACCAGAAGGATTAAAAAAAGGATATAACTCCTTTGTGCAACAACTGAACAGAGATGGAAGAAGGATTCATGTCTGAATGCAAGGACAGTAGTGCGTAGCAGAAACACAGCACAGAACTGTGCTCAGCTACAGCAGCAGGTAAGGCCAACCATAGATAAACACAGATTAGCAATCAAACTTGACATTAAACCTGGCCTGACAAGTCCAAATAGCACACAGCTATGCAGAAACACAATCTCCATACAATTAACAATTACTCCAAAATGTAGCTCAGCATACCAAGAGAGCTCTTGCTCCAGACACAGGGATTAGGTATCCCCAGCTCTGCATTTTTAACTTCTCCTGAGACAGTAACCAAACCCTTCTATACCTGTTAATTTACCACCAAAAAGAGTGTCTAAAGCAAACAGAAGGGGATACATGCCTTTCCCTCAGTATCTCGCTCAATTCACGGAAAATTTATCTGAAGAACAGATGTGGTTTGTCTTATACTAATGCATCAGACCTGCAGCTGAAGCTCAGGCTTGTGTTCACTGCACACACACAGTCTCACCTACATATGAAAGAAGGGACAGATCCTTAGACAGGTCATGTCTAAAATTACCTCGGGTTTTCCTTCAGTTTCTGCAAGTTGGAGCACTAGAAAGTTAATTGGCTGCTTAAAAATAAGTTAGTGTTTAATCCCTTCATCCAAAATACTAGTAACAGCGTGGGCAAGACCCCTTGGCAGCTTCCCAGACTTGGGCCAAGTTTTGAAAGTCAAGGAGAGCTGTGAAGCCTAATCAGAATCTGGCCAAACTCCCCCCATCCCAGCACACTGTGGATGAGTGTTTACACTAACGTGTGACCACCTGTGGTATAAGCCTTTTTCTGCTTTTCTAGAGTGAAGATAAACAGTACCATACTGGAGTATCAAAGAAAGTCTTTATGTACACACCTTGCAAGCATAGGTACCTCCTGTTAAGTAATCCACCGTGGCAGTATAGTGGGCTCCCCGCCTTCTGCTTAAGTGACAGCCACCAGTGACAGTCGTGAAGGCTGCATCTGGCTCAAGCTGGACTTCGGGGAAACAGGTAACAACACAGCAGCTGCTAAGGGCCATAAATCTTGCTCAACAACTGAGGCCTGGTTGGAGGGCTGCACCAACCGAAATACAGCTGGTATGCAAGTATGACTATAAGTCAACCAAATTACTCCATAACTAGTGGACAGTCCAGGATCTGCTGAGCTCTCCTGCACAGAAGGATCTCCCCTTGAGTAGGGATGCCTCTGGGTTACTCCTTGAGGTTGAGATTCCTTGCCACAACAGATTCTCAAGAAGTGATTACTAGCATGTTAACTTGGAAATCTTAGCTAAATAATATAAAGGACTGTTTGTGCACACATAATTCTTTAGATATAAACCACTGACCAAGATTGGGACTAAGTCTGGACCCAGTCACAGCTAAACTCTCTCTGAGAAGGAGTTTAGAATGCTAGGGGGTCCCTTCTGAACCTTGCGACTCAATGGGAGGGTCTCTCTTACAGTTTTGTCTGACCCTGTCCTCTGTGCACTAAAAAATCAAGTGTACCTTGCCACTGAGTCTTGTTAACCGCTGTTGCATTTACTATCAAATTTTGCTAAATCATGTTTTATATCAGTAAACATGTTGCTACTTCTCTCTTATGAGTGAGGTGCACCACTCCATCTGTGACATTCACACATTGAAGGAATTATTTTGGTCTCATAGAAAAACCTTTCTTGGAAGGACCATTAATCCAAATATTGATTCAGAAAAGTTTTAAGAATATCCAAAGAAAACAAATTTATTTTTGCAATAGACCATACCAAATAACTAGTTCATACCAAGTTTTAGTCGCATTTTCAAAGTGATAAATGTGTCTGGCATTTCCACTTAAAACAATCCAACATATCATAAAAAAGGAAAGTCACCAGTCCATAAGACAATCAGTAACACTTAGTTCCTTTAGAGATAAATATAGCATTAAGAAAAGCACATCCCATTTTATAGAATCAGTCTTATTTCTTGAGGAAAGGTAAAATTTAAAGAGCTGTGAAATCAAACTAATAGTCATCCCCACAGAATCAAAGATGACTAACCATCCTTTCCACATGGCATTTTATTTCATACAGATCAGTAAATTCTTTGATAATGCAACTGTCATCCTTAATCAGAATTTGATCTAAAAGATTCATTATGTGCTCAAGATTGACTTGACTTGTATCTCAGAGACTGTCTTGAACTTTCTCTCTGAAGAAGCTAGTGGTATAAAATAACACAGTAAATGTCTGTTCAAACAGACAGCAATCATCTTTAGCAATAAACATACTTCACAGGAAGTGGCTCCAGTACTTTTTACTGCTGCTATGACTTAAAGATGTTAATTACCATCAGTTTTATTTCTCAAAGGAAAACAGCTGCTCTCGGTGACAAAGCATTTTTTGAGCACTCCACAAACCAACAGCAGAAGTGAACACTATCACATGCACCCAACGGCAGAGCTTTTAAAAACCTTTAGAGAAGAAAGGAAAAAGCAGCTTTAATTGGATAAGACAGAAGGGTGAAGGAGTCGGTAACTGTTCCATACACTAGAACACAGAGTTTGCAGATACATGAATCACTATGAAGACTCCCTCACAGCCCTGGAAACGCTGACACTAGGTAACACAAATTCTGAAGATTTTGATGTTCTTTTCTGGATGGAATGCATTTTATTTATTTTTCATTAGAATTTAAATCACAGAAGAAACAATTCTTAGATCAACTTTTAGATATACAGAAAACCAAGAACAGATTGCATATCCTAACCCTATAGGGATAGTATCATTTTAAAAAAAGACTCAAGAGTCTGAATTTGTTCTTGTATCTCATTGAAATACCGAAATGAGTGGTAAGACAAATAATCAGATAAAATACATATAGCTTTTAGAAGTCACTTACTTGAATGGTGTGAACAGAAATGACAGTGTATTTTCCTTTTTCTGACTCATCTTAACCTGTATAAAAGAGCATTAAACCATTATATGCAAGTTGCAACAAGACTAAAAATTGTATCAGGAGGTAAAATAAAAAACATTACAGAAATTTTTAAGACTTTGGAAAAAGAATGAAATCACACTGTCAATATATTGTCCAGGAAACTAGGTGTTACCCTCCAGTATGCACAACTCAGAAGAGTTCCTGGAAACTCAGACCTGTTTTAAAGTAAATAAAATAAACAACACACCAGCCACTGATTTTCTCAGAAGGACTTCTACAGTTTGCAGGATAAAGAGAATATATGGCTAGAAGTGCTACCAGGCCTCAGTGACCAACTCCCTCGATGAAACCAGTATTATTTATCCCAGACAGGAACTAGTACACTGCAGCAAACAATGCCAAAGCAATGCTGTTAAATCAGTTAATCTGCACATGGATAAAAATAGGTTTTGATGTCATTGGAGCCACTTTGCCAAGGACCTCCAAAACATCTTTAAAGCCTTCTGCAGCAACCTGATTCAAGTTTGACAGTTGGTATAGTGTGCAGTCAGGAGTTTCCTAAGCACACTGCTCCCAAAACCTGACAACTTGAAGTAGCAACCCACACGTCCCACCCTATCCACCTAAGGCACCATCTTCTCCAGGGAGTACAAATTCTGGTCAGGGTAGTCCACCACAGGAAAAGCAAAAACCCACTTGGCATGCCTAAGCCAGTGTGCTACTTCTGCTTCAGCACAGAAACACAAAGGAAATTCACACAGGATCGTTGCAAAACAATGCTAGAAAAAAGCTAAGGGAAAAAAAAAGATAATCTAGCACTAAAAAATGACAGAATAAAGCTAAAGGAAAGGAGAAATAGAACTACTTTTTTCTTTAAATAATGTCCAAGACACCAATTTAACTGAAAAAGACCTGAGTCACATCCTTAATTCTTAAAGCAGAGGTCTTCCAGCTGTGGAGGTGATATCAGGATGCTTCACCTTCATGTCCAGTTCAGCACTTGCCCTGCTACATAGCAGCTTCCAACCATATGTTTGAAAGTGACTCTGCTGCTGACACTGTCCCCCTAGGATCCACACTATTGTGAACCCAGCATTCAAAGGAGAGAAGGTGCTGAAGGTGCTAAACTCTCGCAGGTCATCTCATGCTAATTTTTTGTTCCACTATCATCATGTGGTTTTCTGGACAGGGCAATAGTTCTTGTGTGTCTCAGCTTCCTATCTATGGAGAGGATGGTTTCCCCTCAGGGAATTTCTACACCTTGCCAAAACTGTGATTTTGGACAGTTTCTTATTCCACTGTCTAGTGAAACAAACTTTTTTGTTTGGACCACTCAAATGTTCTCATAAACATAATATCCAATATTAAATGGATCAAGACAGAGAAGCCAGAAAAGAACACTTAATGAAGCAAAACAACAGATACAGCAGCATTAGCTAAAAGTTAATTAGACCACTAATTTAATTTCTTCAATGGACAGGAGCCTATTACCTTTTCAATCTGTTTGTGTACTGATCCTGACTTAGAGCCTCATCTCCTAGCCCTTGTTGCAAAGGTACCTTCTCAGGTACCAGAACTTAGATTCTACCTCCATATTGCAAGTAGGTTTACATTAACATCAATAAACAACAGTATTTTTATTAAGATTAAAGAAAAAAGTTATTCATTCCCTTTCCAAAATAAAGGTCGTTTATTCAAGCCTTTCCAACTCCTTCAGATATGGTTCACAGCTAGTCCATCAACATCACCCAGTATGTGGATTCAATTTTATTCCTTTGAATTCAGCATACTATATATAGAGTATGTCCTACAAGTATTGTACATGTAGCAACAACTATTATTCAAATAAGTATTTTTTTTAGTATGTTTAGTACCTTAAATTGCTCAAGAATTTGAACAGCGTTGGTAAACATGCTCTCTGCTTTGAAATGAGCACTATTGTTCAGATATTCCAGAGGCAGAGTCCCCTGAGGAAGAAAAATACACATATACATAAAAAATTTAAATTAAAACCAGGAATTTCTCTGACTGAATTGCAGGCCAAATGAGCAGTACGAATACAACAAATTACTGCTGAAATAACTAATGTAACTCCACTGAAAATACTCTTCTCACATAGTTTTGCAACATCACAGGGACTTTTTATAATAGCTTCTACAGGAATGCAAAAACATAAATAACAGAAGTTGTTATTAAAATATATACTATAAAATAATATAACCTTGACCTCTAATCAGAGGCCATTTATGAAATATCTCAAAAGTCCTCCATCCAAAGCCTGGAAGGAAGTCAGCCTGTGCCTGACTCAACCCAGTACCTGTGATAGGAAGGTGAGCAGTTCCCATGCCACTCTGTGCTGGGCACGGCCAGCAATGAGAGCAGGACAGGGCAACAGAAACTGGGGCAGAGTCTCCAGAAGAAATATTTTGAAAAATGTTCTGCAAATAGGTGTGTTAAATGTGAAACTAGCAGCATGAAAGCACACTAATGAAATGCTAATTGTCAATTAGATATTTATGAGGCAACTTTTGGACTGTGTAATAATACATGAAAGAAATTAAAAGAAAAAGCCAAGTCATCTCACTGTTCACTAAATTAGAGGCACAAGATACCATCTGAAGAAAATACTCAAGTTTAATCAAGAAATAATTAAACCTTAAATTGCAGGAACAAGGTTGTTTACAGGCTCAGCTTTCATGATCAAAACCATGTGTTATTCAAGCCATACTGCATTTTTATCACCCTAAAAACAAAATAATAAACAACCTTTATGCAAGTCAAGCATATAAAGTTGCAGATTACAAAGGGATCAGCTTCCTTTTCAATTGAAAGTCCTCTGCATTATATAAAAAGATTGAGCCTGTACTCTAAACTGAAGATGCACATATAAACCGAAGACTACAAGCAGTCTTCATACCCTCTAGCACTTTTACAAATCTACAGTCTTGCTCTTCATATGCCTCAAGACTTGTCCCCAACACCTCTTCCTCTACAGTAAACAGATTTTTATAATATGTAAAAACACTTGTACTTCTTACCACAGAATTCAGGGGAAAAGGCACACCGATAAGGGAAGCCATCAGCGGTGCTATATCAGCCTGTGCAAGCAGAAGTATTCCCATTTTAATACAATTTCAGCCTCTAGAGCTAATAAATTCAGTTTATTTTTAACATATCTGCATTTGAAAAAGAAAATAGTATAATACTGCAAAGTTATAACACACAACTCTCCTTTGTAGGTTTTCTCTTTTTTTGTAGTTTCCAGAAGTCATGGTATAATTAGATTCAAACTGTGAGGCTCCACTACCAATAAACCTTCAAAAATACTTTTAGTTTAAAAAGCAAATATAACCTCCCACCCCCAGTATTTATTCACAGGAATCCAGCACCTCCTTCACTGCACTCAGAGAGGCATAACATTGTTTATGACTATTTATATAATGGAAAGAACTAATTTCATATTTACAGTTCTAAGCAGTACACCGGATATACTGCTCTTCACAACACTCCTTATCCCATGCTTCCACAGTGCTGATTACTCCCCTTCAGAGGGTGTTTCTGCACCTTTATTTGTGTCCAGTCAGCCCTCAGAAAGGCCCTTCAATCTACACAAAAGCATCTCATAAAATAAGTTACTGTTATGTTCTACTCATGATGATAAACACTCCCTCTCACTAGGTTTATATTTTCCTTTAATATAAAACTATGCACCAAAATTCTTTGTTTCTCCAGTATAAATCTGAAGAAACTGCCCTGAAAACAAGGCACTGCTCCAGACTTGGATCTACTGTGCAGACTCAAAACTGTAACTTGTAGATAACAATATACATGTAGTCTAATGGTAGTCAGAAGCCTACTTTGCTATTTTCACCCATAGTCCCACATGTACTACAGGACAAAAGCTCTGTCTTTGGGAACTCCATTATCCAGGACAAAGCAACACTCAAGACTCTTCTATACAGTCTCAAAATAACATAGCTGTAACTCCTATCAACCTTGAGAGGAAGACTGATCTCTAGTTTTACACCAGGGCTTTGCTGAAAGCAGTTGATCCAGAACAGCGCCAACTTGAACCTTTTAGCATGAGTTTATTTCCCTTGTTTGAACAGATTTGAAATCTGTTATTCACGTATTGGTTTCTGTAGGACAATAGGTAGTAATAAGAACCATGATTTTAAAAGGCTTGGTTGATTTAGTATCAAAGGATAAGTTGTCCACTTTTTCTTCTTCCTTTACAGTACTAATCGTCTAAACTGCAAAGTGTCTGGGCCCTAATCACAGATCCTATTGAAAAATAACACAGTTTAACACTAATAGCAAGAAATGGTTTTGATTCAATAATAACAGCAATTTCTGAAAAAAAGTGACAAAATACAGACATTGAATAGACAGGTCTGAGAAAATAAATCAAACATACACATGGCTAACAAGTGTAGGAAAAAGTACATAGCAGATGCTCACAAACTTGGGAAAAATGGTTATCAGACCACCCTTTTTTTGTGTTTTGCTAGGCACCTTCATAGGAGATACTGAGGAGATACACAGGAGATTCTCAAGTCCTGCTCCAGAGCATTTCCCAGGTAAAAAGCAGAGGGAAAGCCTCACAACTTACTTCCCTCTCTGAAAGCCTGCTAGATGCCATTCAAGTTACTTTTGGGTAACTGGCACTGAGTTGGAGCAGGATCTCTTATACTGTATTGCATCATTTCTACAAAGGGTATGATCACCTAACTAAAATGGTGCAATAATGTATCTTCAGGAGAAGAAGTTGTATGTTGCTGCCACATGTGTCAACAAGCAGTTTAAACTTACCCTCACTATATTCAGTATCAGTGCAGTTCCTGCAACTCTTAAAGTAACACGTTCTAGGGAAATGGTATATCAGTGTAATCATTCGTTCAAATTAAATTAGCTTAAATCACACAAAATCAATAATTTAAGGTGAAAATTTATGAACTATTAAATTAGGTATGTTTGATACCTGATTGACATCAAGCCTCTTCAAGTTCTCCAGCTTCCACTCTGCAAGAAATAACAGAGTACATGAACAGCTAATCTACACAGATTTGAAAGGGGTAATTCCATTGACATTTAATGTCTTGTTGCCATTTTCTGTAAAGTGTTGGTACTAAAGAAAATCATAATTTGACTGTAGGATGCTAGCTCAAGAAGGTTACAGATGGAACTCAACAGGCAGAAACAACAAAATGCATTCATTTCAGTTCACATTTTCTTTTACCCAGCAGGATAAATCACTGCTTGCAAATCTGTGACCTAGATCAGTTGAAGAAAGGCCAAGGGTTTTGTTTTTTTTTTGTCTCAATACAGTGATGTATTACCTCCTGTGCCAACTAAAAGAATCAAACTCAGGTTTAGGAGATGGGCTGTTAAATCTCTTCAACAGTTTATAAAAAAGGTTAACCCAAGGACCCAAATGTACTGGTACAGTGTGATGCAAACATATTAGACCCTAAAGCTGTGGTGTATCACACCAAAAGCTAGTTCAAAAGTGTATTTTCCTGCTCTCCGTTGGCCTCTAAGGAAATCAAGAGAAAAATTGCCTGCTTTCTTTGGGGGTGGAGAATTATTTAAAAACAGAGTTTAGCAAGATTTGGGTTTTTTTTTCATACATCTACAGTACTGAATACACCAAACTTATTTTCAGCAATTTGTTTATACCACTGCTAACTTTGGGGATCTGTGTACAGGTCCACTATGATTTGGTCCCAAAAATTCCCTGAAGAGCAGCCATGTACCTTAACAGTAGTGAGACATACAGCTACAGCAAGTTCCCATGGCAACACAACAGAGGTATTAGAAGCATTAATCGTGAATTGTGCTAAACTCACACCAAAATGAACAAGTTTGCTTCCTTTTGCTTCCTAGAAAAGGGAAATAGGTTTATATTTCCAGAAACAGACTCTCACCCATATTTCTATTACATAAATGCATTGCTTGCTTTCCTTTACATAAGATTTTCCAAAAAAAAAAAGTTGAAAAACTGTCTATGCACACACAAAATGTGCTTAAGGTAGGAAGAAACCCTAGTTCTACTAAAGAAAACATCTAGCTTTGTCAAAGCCTTTTTCATCTCCACTTCCCCTACTCAGATATTTTCAAAGGCATCGGACCAGGAGCTGCAGGACATTGAGCCCAGGAAATACCGAGAACTGGGACACACCTACAGACCAGCCAGTCTGGGTTGTACTTCCAGGAGTGAGGTGCCTTGGCTTTACATGCTGCCTACACTGTCTAACGATTCCAGCTCACTGTCTAGGTTTCTTATACAGTGCTCAGTTTTCCAACCAGTTGATAGAGGCTTTTTTTTGCCTTTATCCTGCCCTGCTTTTACTGCAGCCCACTGGGCTGTCAGAGGTAAATAGTCCAGGGGAAACAGCAGGGAAGTGCCAGTTCAAGAGACTGAGGATGAGGCCACATGAACCAAAGAAAATCTCACAAAAGATTTCACAGAAGCAAAAATAGTGGAGGGTTACACTTGAGCTTCCTCAGCTGTGGCTGCAGCTCTGCTGCTGTCCTGCTGTAGAAGGTTGCACCTTCACTTACAAGCTTCTCTGGACTTGCACCCCAGGGCCAACTGTTAGTCCACGAGAAGATGAAAAGCAGCTCTGTATTCTCCTTGTTTCTGAAGAAGGCTCAAACCAATAGCCAAATGGGTAAAATATTACATGTTGCCCACAGGATGCAGGGCTGCCATAACAAATCTTTCCAAGAGGATTGCCTGACCAGGCCTGAGGGAAGGCAGAGCACAGGTGAAGGAAGTGATGAGGAGAAGGCTGTCATCCCAGAGCAGACTGTGTGCCCTTCTGGCCATCCAAGGAGCACATTCATCCTTCTATGACAAACTGGACAGGCTAAGTCCTGCCTGTTGGCACTGCCTTTGGCACTACAAACCCTCAATGGTAATAATGAGAAGAGAGACAATTCACTGAGCTGCCCACAGGATGCTTGCACTCAACAGAGCATAAGAAGTTTCTCAGCATTAGAAATATTCTGTCAATATTTCCAGGGACTCTTAACTCAGATAAATTAGGAAGGATTGTCAACAGATGCAAGAATCTAAACAGTGGCACATGCAACTACAAATGTAAGCCTGATACCTGCATTCAACAGTGCCACAGCAGTCTTGAGGACACTCTCCTTCGCTGCACACCGTCTCACTTGCATTTGTATGGAGCAGGAAAGGTAGATTCAAAGAACATTTCAAGAGCACTCTTTTAAGTATCTTTTCTTTTACATGTTAGCTTTGTGAAAATATCTGGTATTGTAACTTAATGGAGTAGCTGAACTGTATTGACCTGTGAAAGCACCAAGTTCCATTTCAGCAATTTTTTCTTTACTTCGAAGCTATAATGTACAACTACAGACAGAACAGTCACTTTTTAAGTGATAACTGATACTTGCTACTCAAACAGAGATTCAAACTCCCAAGACAGTCAGAGAGACTCAAATCTCCAATACAGATCATCCACAGCAATTAAGAATCTGTAAAGATAGTGTCTACACAGACCAACAACATGATCGACAGCTGGGAAGCTGCAGAGCAAGTCCACAACTAGGGAAGGAGTTTCTGATGCCTGCTTTGGTGTGCTTGGCTATTTGTCTGATTGTTTGGTTTGTTTTTTGGTTTTTTTTTCGTTTAACCATCAGAAGGAAAATAAGAAGCAGGCACAGTAGGGTGCAGACCAGTGTCCTCCTCTAAGAAAACAGACATTTCCTAACAGATGAAGGCCAAAGAGCTTTCCCTATTGTGCATCTGGAAGCCAGTTCAATACTCATCTTTTTTGAAATGCTCTCGCACCATTTTCATCAACTTTAAGTCAAATGCTGTGAATCAAGGACCCTGACAGATGTAAAACTCAACTCTTACAGATCAACCCTAAGATGTCAAGTGTCCTTAAAAGTCGAGCAGATCAGCCATCACAGAAATCAAGATCAGTTGGTTTATTCTGTTTTCTGTTTTTTTGCTTCAACTCATTTTCAATTTTATCACAGGTGTCATAGTTTTATAGCAGCAGTTTATCGCAGAGTGAAATGTTAGTATAGTCTATATCTGAAAAGTCCCATTTGCTTAATCTGTTATCAAATACCTTCTCAAGAGCAGGACGAACTTAAAACCTCAGGGTTGAAGTAATTTTTGCCTGTTTTCTCTAATATAGCTTGACAAGCAATTCAGTAAAATAGAAAGTCATTACCTCATTGATCGTGAGTAACAACTCAAGACTCAAAGCATCTTAAGAAACAGAGCAGGCTACAAGAATGGGGCACGTGAAAGAGGAAGAGCTTGCACAGTTTAATCACACATGGTTCTCTAAATTCCTTGATATTTCAGTAAGCCAATATTTATTACATTATGTATTTTAAATAATAAAAAAATAATTTTTTTTTAATTTATTCCTAAATAAATTACAAACGGGAAGAATACCAGTAAAGAGTCATAGCTTTTCATTGAGAAAAACTGTTTACATTTCCACAAGAGCTACAAGGATGCAAGTGAGACAAAACAGCCCCTGGAAATTCCCCAGGGTTGTACTGTGAAGCTAGAAAAGAGCCTTTGAACCTGTCAACTTATCATGTTTCTGTACAAATAGCTTTTAACCTCTGGGAGTCTTCCTAAGAATTAAGTCTCCTCTGGAACTAAGTTTCACAAACATGAATAGCCTACTGTCCCCAAAGAGAGAAAGTCTTCAATTCTATGATTAGAAAAGAAAACTGACTCTGATATTATCTATCCAATTTTGCAGTATCCTGCTTCAGCATGCCCTGTCACTCTTTTTTTTTTTTTTTTTTTTTACACACTACACAAAGCAAGTCATATTAACTGGACTTAGTGGAACAGAAGTCCGTAAAGATCAACACCTCCCTTTCCAACAAAATCTTGCGCTCCAGTTTTATGTTTTACCTACCTTTCAAAAAATTGTCTTCAAAGAACTGGGATGTAACTTTCTGTGGGTAATTTATTCCAGCACCCCACACAATCAGTGGTGTTAAAGTTTCTGAAGGATGACCAGCTCCATGGGATCCTAAGACACACCAAACATTAAAAAAAATATAAACTTTAAGACATGTGCTGTAAAAACAAACAAAATCTACATGCAACAAAAATATATACACAAGTACTAAGTTCTTGTTACAGCAGACATACTAAAATCCTGTTACAGAAAATCTATTCCAGCTTCATAGCTTATTTTTATGCCACTAACAATAAAGTTATAGTAAAATAACTAAATGCAAGTCGCAAGTTGGGAAATTGGTACCAGTTAAGTCATTATAATAATTATTAAGTCTATCTGTGAAGGTAGAATTTGTATATTAAAATCCCCAAATTGTTAACATACAGAAACTAAAGCCATAGTATTTATATATATCTATATATCTATATATCTTAACCTTGAGGTGTAGAAGAGTTGCCTGCCCAAAACACATGCATATGCCTATCCTGAGTATCCCACCAAAACCAGGAATGGTTGATTTCAATAAAATTAGGCATGTGTGCAAAACAAAACAAAACAAAAAATAGAACTCATCTCTTGTTCCCCAGTAAGAATTAGACTTCTATTTCAAAACCAGGAAGCAACATGCATTGCAACTGTCATCCTTGTGATCCTTGATCACTATCATCACTGTGATACAAGTTCATTTTAAAGGTTTTAAAGCCTAGGAGCACACTCCTTAAAAATTGATAAAACATGACTTCCTTCCCTGGGGAAATTGATTCCCTCCAGATTAATGTATCAGCAGCCAAAAGGAGGAAGCTTGAAAACTGTGACACTTCAGCAGAAGTTGCACTGAAGCAGGAGCCACACAACCTTGAAAGGAACGCTGGCCATTAAACCCAGTGGGTGAGGTACCATAGCACTGAGATAACCCAGCTTCAAAGGGAGTAACATCGTTATACAAACCCTGTGTTGGTCACTGCATGGTCTACAAGATTATACATTTTCCTTATATTTGCATAGACACATGCTCCTCCCCGTGTGTACAAATATATATTTAAGAACTACAAAGGACAGAGAAAGCACATTGTTGTACAGCCTCGAGGTTGTTCCCAATTTCATACCCCGTTCTGTCCTTAAAACAATCACTATGGCAGAGTCAAAGATCCAATTTTGCTTTCTTTAAACAGCCTTAAGCTTTAGAACACACAGGTCTGGGAATTACATTCCTGATATCCTTAAATCCCTTGGAGGGCATTCTCTGGGCTTAAAAGCAGCAACAACTGCTCTTCTTTGCAGAACTTGGGAAAAGAGCTGATGGAGAGAGTACATCCTCCATCTTCCAGGCATGAGTTTTTTCTTTCTGTTGCAGGAGGAAAGAGAATTTTTGGTGAGCTTACATTTTAACCAAGTCACCAGCTCCATCAGCATTTTACTGAGACTCTGCCTCCATGAATACTTTAAGACAGATACAGCTGAGACAGGCAGCTGTATCCATTCTCTCCCTGTTATAAGAACCAGGTTTCAGCCTGATCTGAATGATAAGAGGGGAAGAAAAATAATTACTTTCATCTGGGTCTGTTCCACCCCTCAGCACCCTGCAAACACACCTTCTCAAGAGAAAGGGAGGGAAAGGGTGCTGTTGTTCAGTTCTCCATTCTCTGATCCAGTATATCATCCAGTAGTACTCATACCAGGATTATAGCAGGAAGGAGTGGGCAAGGTGAGGGTGGGTATGGAACTGCCTACGTTGGTGGTCAGCAGTTCCATCTGACATCAGCTTAAAGCAAAATCATGGAGTCAGACAGAGAAAGCAAGTGACTTCATTGGTCTTTGCCAGCAACCACAGATTCTTTATCATGTCTAATCCAGAACACGTTCTTCTCCCTAAAAGGTCCCCCCTGACATTCTAATGTTTAATTTGTTTTAAAACTGGTGCGCATCCCATTCTGCAAATAACCACTGAAAGGTTGCAGCAGTTGGTATACTATAAGTTCAAATAAAAGCTACTGAACTAGCCTTCAGACTGCTCGCTATGAGCCTGAGCAGCATCTCTGTGTTTGCTCTTGGACTCACTCAAGTCAGCTTTAAAGTTATTAACACTTCTGACAGAAGATTAGGCTTTATCTTGGAGGCAGGAAGAGATGACAGAAAACTATGACAGACCAGTGGTTCTCAAAGCCTGAAGAGTTACTCATATCACCGTTTATTCCCATTTCAAAGGATCCTGTACATAATGAGAACACCCCTACAGCAAACTCTGGCAGTGAGGAAGGCCAACAGCACTGCAGGCTGTTAACAGGGGCATGGTAGAGGGAAGGGGTTATCCTTCTCTATTGAGTGAGACCACATCTAGACAGTTTTGGGCTCCTCTGGTACAGGAATACATCCATCACCTAAAATGGTCTCAGTGAGGAGCACTTGCCCTGTGAGGAAAGGCTGAGGGACTGGGACTTGTTCAGCCTGGAGAAGAAACAGCTTTGGGCAGGACAGAACTGAGCATCCTGCCTGTATCTCCCTGTGACAGGGTTTGAGAGAGGATGGAGTCAGAGTGTCACTGTGGTGCACTGTGGGAGGATGAGAGAGAACAGGTGTAAGTTTAAACAAAAAAAGTTCAGATTGCAGATAAATAATACCTTTTCCCCTCAATGAGGACAGGCAAGCAGCAGAGCAGGCTGCCCAAAGGGGTTGCATAGGCTCCATCCCTTCAAGGTTTTAAAAGCTCTGGTAAATAAAGTCCTAGCATCTGTGTCTGATCCCAAAGCTAATCCTGCTTTGAGAATATGGTTGGACTTCCTAGAGGTCCCTATGATCACATATACACAAAACATATATATATATATATATATATACACACCTTCCTCATAAAAAATTATTAAACCATTACTTGAAACAGAAAAAAATACAGCAGAACTAAAATTTTTTGCAAGTGGTAGTCAGCTCAACAATAAGTAATATTCAAAATGCGCTATTTTGCAAATGAGCAGTTGGTATTTAGGCTGATTACGAATAAATATAAATATTTTTGTCACCTCTGGTGGCAGAATAAATCTGCATCCTTTCAACTGAAAAAGTTTAGGATTTCAGACACAGAGTAAGATGAATTTTTCCATGACCATGCCTGACGCCACCTTGGTTCAAAAATATCACAATAGTTATAAACACACACATTGGAAGAGAGACTTAGCACTTTCACTGGCTGCACACAAGGACAGGAGTGTTTTTAAGGTCCTCAGGAAAAAAAAAAGTCTAAATGAGCTTACCATCTTAAACTCTTCTCATCTGCCCTTAATCTAGTTATGCCAAAATTGCCTCAGGGCATTTGGCCACTGTGGCCACGCCTTTCACAAGTGCCCTTTGTGGGTATCTGCATGGTTGACCCCTGCCTCACTCTGTACTCTCAGCTCCTCCATCCAGTCTCCCAGCACCAGTCTCCTCTAGAAAGATCACACAGCACTCCCATCCTTTCTGCTTTGCCTACAAGGCCCAAATAAGCAAAAAGATGCTCTTCTCTTCCCATTTCCCCCCGCCGTCAAGTTTTTGACCAGCACCTGGACAGACTTTGCACCTTTTCCAGGTGCTTCAGAGCACCAAAGTGAAAACTGTTATCTCCCACATGGGCTGGAACAAGACCAGCTTTGCTTCTGGCAGCCAAATAACAGAGTCTCCTCCTGCTTGGGTTAGTTCTTGGCAGAGGAGGTATTCAGGTCTTTCTATCCCTACTAGCAGCCACCGAGGAGTTAAACTTTACCTTACTGCCTTTTTTCTGTCCAGATATGAAACACAGCTGTCACAGCAATTTGCACGGGTTTTGATACGCAAGCAACATTTAGGATATCAAATCAAAGCAGGGGCTCCAAAACTTCTAATGGGACAGAGCTCTAATCACACTCCAGATGCCCAAAATATCAGCTGACTCAGCATTTAAAAAGACTCACCCCAATCTGTCATTCCATGGTCAGAAGTTAAAATAAATGAAGTTTTTCCATCATTTCCATAGAAATGGTCAATCATTGATGCAATTTCTTTCACACCCTCATCCACCTTTTTAATATTCTCCTTGTATTCCCTTGAAAAATAGGAAAAAATGTTAGATTCAAGGTGGTCATAATGCCCACTTCTTTTATTATAGACAGTTTTATCCTCTACAGAACCTCAAGCTAACAAAAGGCCTCCTAGGTGTAGTATCTCTCCTCCTCTGAGTCTTATGTGAGATATTAAGTTGTCACAGCACAGTTTGAAGGTTCCTGAAACCACAGTTTCAAGTGGATTTATATTTCAAATATGACCTGTCCTTGACTTAAGACTATAATTTTATCACTCTCACCTATCAGGCAAGTTAAGGAGAATAAGAAAACTAAGAAATTCTGGAAAACTCAAACACCTTAAATTTTAAGTTGTAAAAATTACTTTTAAGACTAACTAAATAGCAAATAAAGATCTCACCACGCAGGCATTGTTTTGAGACAGTTCATAGATCAGGACAACTCTTAGAGTTTTGTGGAATAGAGGCTAAATAAAAAAATCTACATATTTTTAGTAAGTGACCATGATTAATTTTCAGGCAACTAATTTTCTCTTTGGTGCTGTTGCTAAAGTCAGCTTTAAAACTCTGTCTTCAAAAAAATCATAACAAAAAAACATGAGACATACAGCAAATATGAACTTTGGAATGATGTAGGGAATCAGAGTATGAACTTTGAAAGTATGATCAAGAGAAAGACATAAAATCCTACATTCAAAGCACATGAAGAAGTGAAAAGAAAGTTTGCAAATAATGCACTTCAAACCAAACTGGTGGTGAGAGCTGTTAATCTAAACTCGTCTTTGTTCAAGAGTCATAAGGAAAGCCAAAGCATAATGTTGGAACTTGTAGCAATTATAGCTGAGCTTACTGTTGCCTGTAAACTCAACTATATAATTTCAGCAAGGAGAAATCTCAAAACTGTATCCATTTTACATTTAAAACCACCATTTCCTACATATCCTCTAGATTATGTGTTGGCTATAACTAAGACAATCTGCTAAAAATCAGACTTGAGTACAGGAGCATAACCAGGTATACTGTATATAGCAAAAATTTGTGATTTCAATAGATGGTACCTTAAAAAACAAAATAACCCAGAAAATTCAGAACATAGGTAATCATGGTTACATATATGACCCACAACAATAACAGTCTTGTTTCTGGCTAGATAAATAGCACTGTTAAAGAAGTTACTGCTTGCATTTAAAGCTAATAAGAAAGATATGCTTAATATCTCAATTACCTTGAGTTTGGCCGATGAGCATGTCCATTTGTGTCTATGCCTAGCAAATGTAGGAACAGAACCACTTTCTCTTCATTCAGTGCAGAGAACAATGTTTGATTACTTCTAGAAGAATTAAAGAAGCTCTGCGTGGAATAAGCCATTAATATATTAATCTGAGTAAAATGGAAAAAGGCAGTTTATTAAAACTAAAATACACCTGTTTTCATGTCAAAATACTAGTAGTTATTAGAGTTAAAAAAAGGGAAAAGATAATTACTTCCCAATTTACTTCTTGGAGGATAACTACTATCCGTATAGCCAGTCCACAGTTTCAGCTTATCTAGGGCAACACTCAAGTTGAGGTGTCCTTTTGTTGTTTTGGGAGACTTTTTTTCTTGTGTTTTTGTTTGTTAGTTTTGTTTTTGTTAGCTTTGTTTGGGGGCTTTTTTGAGTTCGTGTAGGCAGAAATACCAGCTAATTGCATACCATCCCTTCTTTGCCTCCTGTATAAACACAACAAGAGCCATTCCTGAGCATCACTTATAGCTTTACATTTGCGTTCATTTACTGAATTTACACTGGAAGCAAAGATCTCAAACACTCTTGCTTTGAAAGCAGGTATTGCAGGACTGAAATACCAAGCTACAACTTGTTCTTAGAAACTAAAATAACAGAACAAAACATGACATGTTTTGAAAATACATGAACTACAGAACATACATCTGCCTTGCACATGTCCTACTTAAGCATCCCTGAGGCAGATGCCAGGGGAGGATTTTCCCCTCAGATGGAATGAGTCTTGACACAGCTATTCTGTGTTAGACCAGCCATATTACAGCAATGCAAAATGCAGGCAGACAGCTATTCCAACATCAGTTCCTTAGTAATAACACTGCCCAAGGAAACAAAGTTGGGTAGGGTTTTAGTCCAAAGAGCATCTAGAGAACCTTGCAGTACACTAATATAAATGAGAGTGTTTTCAAACTTCATGCAAGAGTCCAGGGAAAATGTTGGTATAGCCAGGGAATCATTTCTGCCACCAAAGGACAGGGCAGTCCACCACACACTTGTGACAGCAGTGGAGCTCTTAAAAACCAAAGCTCACACCTTGTGTAAACAAAAGTCACTGTACCCAGAGGAAGACCCAGCTGGCAGCAACAGTATCATAGTAAGCTAAGTCAGGAAACCATGGCCATATGCAATTCCACCTTTTAACTCTGAATATACACAAGCTGCATCGACTAACAATTGCACGCTCTCAGCTTGTTCAAATAAAATCATGACCAAAGTCCAGAGATATTTTAAATAAAGACCCAAGAATGAAATCTGATTACATTAAATAGCAATATAATTATTTCTTTTAAATTTCCATTTGCAGCAGAGATTCGTTCACCTGCCCACATTTGACAACAGATTGAAGAAACTTTCCAGAGCTCATCAGTAATTTGCGGGATACAGTATAATTCTGTTTTCTTATTTTTAATTAAATAAAAGAAAACAACATATCAAAACAGACAGACAGGAAACTACAAAAATTGAATCCTAAATGGTAGATCAATATTTGAAGGCACACATTTTTCTATCACAGAATGATTGTGTGAAAGAAACCATTCAGAGGAAGGTAAGGCGTGAGCTTTCTCTCCCACCAGACGAGTCCCCATGACGTATCAAAACCACTCCACTACCCCAGTCCCAGCCACCTTGTAAGCCAGAGCAGCAGCAGTCAGAAGAGCTTGCCCAAATGCTGGCTAGCTAAGAACAAGATGATAAACAGAATATAAGTGTCACCTAATATGTGGCACCTTTTCCCAGAACAAATAGAAAACTTGATCCCATGGAGCTTTTTTAAAAATTGTTAACTGAGAAAAAAAACCAAACACAAATAGGAAGCTCACCACAAGGAGTAATCTTAGGCTGATAAAGGTGGTGAGTTGGTAAGCAGGATTCCGAACAGTAGGGGTAAAAACCACTTGGCCTTGCTTGGGTGGTTGCTCAACTGTTTGTCCAGAACTATCCTTGTATCTCCTTGCAGCCTGCTAAAGGTCTCTTCTTTATGGTTCTCAGAGTTCACAATACTTAAGTCCTATCACCACTCAACACTAGTTTCCAAACCACCCAACCCATCATTATGTTAACTTTAACTTTCTGTCTCTTTTTTTTTTCTTCCCTTTTATTTGCTCTATTCAGTAATATTACCTGCATAAATATATATATATAAATATATATATAAATATTACATTTATATTTAAGCCAAATCTCACCAAGAAGTTTCAGTGAGGGCAATAAACAACTAAGAGGCCTAGAGCACTTAGTTTCTCCAGTCTCCAGAAAAAGCAGCAAAGGAGAGATCCCATTGTTGTCTTACAACCATCTACTGTGTGGCTGAAGGGAAGACTGAGCCAGATTGGTAAGAGGGGCCTCAGAGATGGGACAAGGTAAAGCTCACAATTTGAAATGTGGGAAATTCCAGCACAGACAAAGAGACTTTTTTAAATTATTTTTTTTAAACCATAAGTGTAGCCAGATATTGGAACAGCTTCTCAAAAGGCTTATCCTTGAAGATGCTCAAAACTTGACTGGACAAGACCTGAGCAGCTCGCTCTAAGAGAACCTCCTTCCTGCAGGGACTTGGACTTGATGACCACTACAGCTTTATTCCAAACTTATTTTTATACAATTCTGGCAACTTTTCTATGATTTTCTGTCAACTAACAACAAAATAATGCACTGGCTACAACTGATATGCAGTTTAATGAGATCAGCAATAAGTTTTCCGTTAAAACATTTACAGCAAGATATGAGCCTAATTATAATGTAACCAATTGGTTATAACTATGTGAAATCTTTTCCTAATCATCTCCCTCCTCAGATGGGAGAAAGCAAAGAAAAAAAAGACTACCTAGCAGATCTAACAAATACATGACTTACAGATGTCTGAACAGAATATGAACTTTTAGATTGTAAACATCTAAGTTGTTGGGGACCATTTGTTCCATCAAACAGAGTCTTCAGTGGAAGCATGATCCTTTAATAGGGCTGATAAACTGTTGCTGACTGCATGCACGTACAAGGAGAGGGACCAAAACAACTTTTCTTTCACACAGCTCCTTCATACATAATCTAGGACAACTTAATTTAATTGGTTGTTTAAAGTTGTGCATATTGACTTGTGCTAATGGGAGAGTTTAAAAAGTTATGCCAGTTTTCAGATGTAAAACAAATGTACAAAGGCAGGATAAACATACGCCAGGTTTGGATCAGCTGAGCACGATCATGCACAAGACACCTACGCATTTAAAATAAATCATTCAAACACTGTACTGCTAATTAGAGCAGAGCTATCTGTATTGAAATCCACTGGCACAAACATCAGGTCATGGCACCGTCTGCAGAGCTTCAAAGTTTGACATAATTCAGTTCTGGACTCTGTCCGCCACCCTGCACAGAAGGGACAGTCTGAAGGCTTGGATGGCCTTCTTCCAGCAGAAAGGGGTCAAAGCAAGAATGAAGTACTGTGTTCAAAATGAGAAAGGAATAAAAGAAAAGAACCACAAATATTTGCCATCTGTATCTACATGTCCATTTAAGTCAGAAGACACCAACTGAATATCTGGAGCATATCCTTCTCTTTGATCATAATAAATTGCGATTAGGCCATTACTGGGACTCATTTCCAAGACCAAGGTCATGGAATTTTCAACCTTTTACCCTAAAAAAAGAGTTCAATCTTACAAAACTGTTTTCCACAAAATACTTTAAATAATCAGAAATGCATTAGGAAGACTTTTTTTCCCCATGAGTTAATCTACACTCCCAATATTTTTACTCCTTAATTTTTCTTAGTACAGACTCACAGTATGATTTACGTAAAGGTTATTTAATTGACAATCATCAGGCCACATCACACTAGATTATATTCAGTACCATACTTATTTGAAAAGCTTCTAAAAACAAAAATCCCAAAAAAGACAACCCAAACCCCAGAAAAAACCCACAGTCAATCAACTCCATGCCCACCTGGAACTCCAAGCCAGCTCCAAGCTATTGTTGCACATTACAATTATTGAGTTTTAAAGCAGCTGCTGATAAAAACCCCACACAGTCTAGTCTATGCTAAATTTTCTGTCCCAAGAAAGGCTTAGGAGCACCTTGATCATGAGCAGACATGACAGGAACTATCAAGTGTCATAAATTTTTCTTCCAGTGATGATTTAAGCAATCTGCTTCTGAGCCATACAAATAAAAACTAGTCAAAGTCACCTATTTTCTGACCAAGTTACTATTATTTAGTGGGTTTTTTAAGAGAACAAGCAATTTCAGAGTGCCAGCACTAGTAGCCCAAACATTAGTTAGCCATTTTTCATTTTATTCCCACCTTTTTTTGTGGACAGACAAAGGCAGAGAGGGAGCATGTGTTACCATCTTTTACTTACTAAAGAGGTAGAAATCCAGGGATGACCTTGGCCAATATATGAGTTAAACAATATGTTGTTAAATCCTTGATATAAAACTCAAAGGAGGAGTAAAAAGAGTAGGCCAAGAGCACTGTTGCTCCTACTTATATGTAATCTCATTAGCACAGCTGGAAGTTGTTTGAGCTGTAATAACAGAGTGACCTGGGTTTCAGTAAGCCTCGAGTTTCGCACTTCTGAAGCAATCATTGATGTGTAATTGAAGACATGATTAATGGAATGTGTGGTTTACGCCAGTCAATCAAGTCCTATCCATCCACAGTATGAAATTTAGATGGGCAAAATATGTCTTTAAAATAATGGTGCTGCTTCCGAGGAAAAAGTAATCAGTGATGACATATATATTACACACATCATTATAGTTTGAAAGGAGAAATGCCATTAGGTGTTCTGAAGCAAAAGGCAGTACCACCCTCACATAGTTGTGCTGCTCCAAATGACAGCAGGATGCAACTTTATGACAACAGCTATTCAAGTGTAACTGACAGCCTAATTTGATTTGTATTATTCATATGCATTACAACACACAACATGGCACAAAGTGCACATTCAGGGAGAGGATGGCAGTTAGGAAAAACATCTTTTCACCTGCAAACTCAGGAAATAGCGTCCTTTGAAAATCAGCAAACTATAATGAATTTTTTCCACCTATGTCGCTGTTTAAAGCAGAATCACTCTTGGCTTCCTAAATAGATGCTGTTTTGGTTCACTGATTTATTTGGTTTGATTTTTTGTTTGATTTGATTTATGTTGGTTAGCTAATACTAATGCATACTGCCCAGAGATCTCATGGAAAAAGTTTGAAGTCTTAAGCTCCATTAACATTGTTATGAGATACAGAAAGTAACTGACTTAATTGCTTCACTGATACAGATATTCATATACCAAGGCCCACTATCAGCATTTCTTAATCCAGAACAAGGGAGGTAGCATGGAGTAACAGAAATATAGGAATTAATGAATACTCAGAAATTATGTGTCTTGGACTATTAATACTTACAGTAACAGAGTCACAGAAAACAACAGTCATGAACCAGCACTGACCCAAGTCAGCTGAGCAGAGCACCACATCAACAAATTATAGTGCTCCAGGGCCTAAGCTGCCTCTGCTTCCCCCTTCCTCCCCTCCAAAACTGACTGTGACTCCTCTGACTCATCTGCCACAGCACAGTGTGAACCACAGTAGATAATCAGAAGCCAGCTACACGTATCTGAATAAGCCACACTGAACAATTACAGTCAGGGTGCAAGCCTGACAAACATTAAGTCAATGATATTGTCTATTTCTTTATCCTAATGAAGACTTACAATTTCTGCCATGCTGTAACACCTGTTATAAAATCCTTGACTAATAGCATTCAAGATGTTAAAGGGTCTGTAGTATTCTATGGCTTTCAGATTATAGGCAAACAACACAGAGAAAAGCGCCAAGAATGTTTTTAAAGGGTACTTTTATTAGTGTTAGATTTTTAATTAGCATAGAATGACAAATGCTTCCTCTAAGCATCCATTACACTAGTCATGAAAGTTGATTCAAGTCATTTTCACTTACAAACCCACGTGATCGGTCTTTCAAAACTTTCTTCCTTTTCAGTTCTATGACAAGGTTTACATGTTCTAAGATAAAGTTAACATGTGCTTTTTATAAACAGCTAGCATAAAAAGATTCTCTGCTTACCTTAACATGATCAAAAACCCATAGGTCAAGCTTGGCTGCATCTTGTGCTCCAAAGTCTTCACTTTCTGCTGTGTAACAAAATGTATAAACGTGATCTCCAGTAGCACCTGCAAAAACAATATAGGTGGCATATGAGATAAAAGGGTTTTTTTCTCTTTTCATAGTCAAAAATACTTTTATGCATAGGAGTAAAAACTTATCAGGAATTATAATCCTTATTTTAAACTTTCTCATAATTTATGGTTTTTTGAAACCTGCATACCATTTTACCTTATTAGGTTATCAGCATCTCAGAGGAAGGAGGAGCAATGTTATCAAGTATGCTCAGGTGAGGAAATAAAGTATGGAATGCAGTTAGGAGTAAAACAAATCCCAGTTCAAGCAAATTAAACAGAATTTCATTTTGAAACAAAGAATTTCACCAGGAAACTTCTAACCAAGGAAAATACATATTTAGAGCTTCCTTTAAACATGTGTTTTGGGGGAAGACTGAGAAAAATATACTCAGCTTTTGGTTTTTCAACTGAATCATACAAGACAATGCCATATCTCTTAGGTCTTTTACATAGGAAAACACCCTATATGACATATAATAAAGGCATCAGAAGGCTTCTTACATATCAATTCTAGTTATCAAAAGCCCAGTGGACAACTTCAAGAAGACAATGTTCAAAGTCTGCATCTTTAAAACTTGCATCCAAAATAGAAAATGGAGAACTACTGACTCACAAAGTACAACACGAGGGCTACTGATGTGCAAACACAGCATCTAGACAAGCTGCTTTCATTCTCAACTCACTGTGAAGGGAGCAAAGCAGAGAAAGGCAGAGAGGCAGGGGGGGAAACCTAGAAGAAAGTAAACTTTAGAGATCTGAAGGTAGGTGAAGTTTAATTAAATAACTCAGTCAACGGCAGAGCTGTTACAGCTCAGGGATGCCATTTATGCTGTGACAGCGTAAACTCCCAGAGGGTGAAGTGCTCTTCAATCGGACGATGACCAGCAAGAATATAACCGATTTGCTGGATGTCACAATTATATAATGCCGTTGTGTAAGCTTCCAGGCTTGTGAATGAAATAACATCCCAGTATAAGGGAGCTGCTTAGCCAAGATTATGTGCAAACCCACCCAAAGGGATGCAGGTATTTCAGGCCAGGAAGATGAAAGCTGGCACAGATTTTCTGGTGCAGCTCTCCCCTGCGCCCCAGGAGATGTTACAACTACTTATAACACAGAACACTTGCTGCAGTTCTCAGTCTGAAAGAAAAGGAAGAAAATACTGCCAGGCATTAAAATATGAATTCAGGAGTTCCAGCTGGCAGATAAATGAGATCAAAAGAAAAAATAAGTCCTGTCCAACACTACCTAAGAGGATAGAATGCTGTAGTGTTTTTCCACAATGTCACAGTAAACCCAAGAAGACCTTCTTTGAGAAGTGCCACACAAAAGAAGCCAAATGACAGTCTGCAGACAAGCACAGAGTCTGCAGACCAAGCAAAGAAACACATCTACTTCTTACTCATTTCTAACTTCTACCAGAGCAAAACAAAACAACCCACCCAACCCTGCACTGCTATACAGATAAACAGTAGCAAAGTCAAGTCATACTAGGAAGGTTTTGGAGTGCCTGCATAGCTTATATTATAAGCATTTCTTCTTTTTTTTTAATAAGAAATCCTACTATGCAAAATGTTAGGAAATACTATTTTGTTTCTGTTATTTGAGAGGTGGCAGGTGACAGTACACGAACACTTATCTTTAAGGCTGGGGATGAGGAAGCAAAGACGGGATAGAGAAGTAGAAGGAAGCCAGGGATGAAAACATCCTTTAAAAGCGAGCACAGAGCTCTACTGGATTTGATGAAGCCGTTACACTACAGGAAATAACTGGAGGTGCCAGAAACACTCAAACCAGTTACCGCCTATTCCTTTTGCTCTTTTGTCTGGCACTTTATCTCATCCTCAGCATCAATATCCAAATATGAGGATCATGGACCAAATTATCACCCCCTTACTAAGATTTACATCCCATGGAAAGCAAAGCTGTCACTGCCAGTGGGGCAGTCCTGTGTCTGACAAGCTTTTCATGGGTCAGAGTCCAGACCAGTAGGAGACTTTGCTAGCAAATTTTGCAGGCACAAAAGAGGGGAAAGAAGAATGAATCCACAAGGACAGTCAGACACTGAGCTGGACAGAGTGTGGGCATCAGAGAGCTGTCATCAAACACAACCATGTGAGGAACGTGAGAAATTGTGTGTTGTTTAGCACCAAGGAATTAAAACATGAGATCAAGAGGTCTGTCTGTCCAGAATAACCCCAACAATGGTTTGTCCCAGTTGTCCCCATGGTCTTGATGATACCCTTCTTCATACTGAATTTAAACAATGACTCTAGTATTTCTGGAAGCTTCCAAGAAAGAGAAAGGGAACCTGTGGAACAAATGGCAATGTGGGTGCAACAGACTAGCATCTAATTCCCTTAAGAGAAGCAACAGTCTCAGTTCCTTTTTCAATGTGACATTTAATACTCTAGATTATACTCCAATCCAGAACCATGACAAGAGTACAGTACTGGACTTTTCAGGTCAAGCCTCAAATTCTGGCAAATATAGAAGAGAAACTCAAAGTTTTAAGGAGCATTCTGGAAAAAAATAGGTTTTTTCAAAGCACATTATTTTCAGATAATTTCAAGGGTATAATCTAAAAGCATCATAGAAAATAAGGTAAAAATTAGCACACTGAACTTGCATATCTTAAATGAGTTTAAGTATTAGAAACAAACACCTTCAAACATTTTCTCAAACTAAAACACTAATCAGGCAGTCATTAAGACTTTGACAGATTTAGATTTCATGCATATCTATAGTGGTATTGAAAGAAATCTGTGAGTATTTTATATACCTTCTCTATAGAACCCTCAACCATTTCCTTGAAAGATTTATTACCAAAAAAGTACCTAGGGAATAGAGAAAATTACAGGAAACAAAAGACTTTCCTATCCTTCCCAAAAAGAAGTAGTTGCTATATAGTCTTTATTCATCATCCAATGGAAATCGTGAAATAGTTAATAAAATTCTGAACATTTTGGCATGATAAAAGACACATAAGAAGAGTCCTATGACCTCATCAATTTCCAACATAAAAAGGAGAGAAATTAAGCTACGCTCCCCTATGTCCCTCTTGGCTTTTTTGTAAAAGTAAAGTTAAAGAACAAACACTTGATTTCATTCCCTTTTGTATTCTAAACCTTTCCTCCTTGAAAGAAGAAAAATATCTTCTTCTAGGTAAAAGAAGTTAATCTATCTCTCTATCATGAGAAACTATGATACATTTTCCCACACAGCCACTACTTCTCAGATACATTGCTGCACTAAACCTTTGCCAACTTTGGGGGATTTCCCTCCCCCCTGCAAAAGGAAGTTCCATTGTTGATACCACTCAGAACAAGACTTATTGAAAGTATTATCCTTGCACATCTCTACAGATAACATCAAAGCTGCTCCCAGGTCCTCTGCTTATCTTCTTACTCAAACAAAACCAGTAGAAAGACAAGGCTCTGGGAAACTCTTGAATTCCCCAAATATTTTCCCAAGAACATATCCCCAAAAATATAAATAATCTGTGCAAGGGCAGCTACCTTTCCCTTCTTCCCAGCTGCCACGACACGATTTCCAAATACAAGCTGTAATCTGAGGTCATGGGAAATTATCAGGAGATATTTTTACAGTGAACCATAAATTTATGAGGCTCAAGCAAAGAACAGAAAAGAGATATGTGGGGGGAATATCAGGATGAGAAAGGGAAGAGACATGAGTTCAGAAAAAGTTCAAGAATCATCACGAGAAATACAGTGTACATTTTTTCTAAACCAATATTATATTCCACTCCTATTCTGCCTATCCTGTTTTTCTAATTTGTCAATACCAATTCTTAGAACAGAACTGCAGCATATGCCTGTAGCTCATCTCTTTTTCACTTCAATCTGTTTATTCTGAGAGAATGCAAAAGGGCATATATGCCCTCATACCAACAATATTAAACTTTTAGTTGTTTGAAGTGTTGCTCCTCAATCTCTGCACACTCAAAGACCAATTGGGTTGACAAGACTTTAATACACCGCATACCATGGGCAGAAGACCTCAGCTTCAGAAATAGCACCAGCAAGTTCCTGCTTTCATGCAGTTCTTCCATTTACATATTATTGTTCAGAGTAGAAGCAGGATAAACCACAATAAGCTACTTCTACAGCTCAGACACTCGAAAAGCATGGCTGCAGTTCTATCTCCCAAATCAGTGGGAGCTGCAGGCATAGGAAGAAAATTCCCAGCTGCATGCTTGCAAACAAGAGCTTTAAACCTCAGCCAAAGAAAAAAATACTAGGTCCTTGTAATTTAAGGTGTGCTTCTTTTAGTATGCTGACAGAATTAGGTAACAGATTTAAACAGATGACTAATAAATACAGATATCTTCATTAAAAGCTTGCTTCTTTACCTCCACCTCCTCTTGAATTCACAAACTAGAAACCACGTATAGAATACACACAAATACACAAACTGGAAATATGTCATTCACCTTCTTCTCTAACTCAAAATTTTTAAGTGTCTCTGTTTTACTAACTGATAACTATGTGTTAAAGATTCATAAAATTTAAGTCTTACCTTTTGCAAACATTGGCAAAATATCTGGGCTTCCCCAACTCCAGGTATATTTACTTTCATTGAAAACAGAGTCAAATTCCACTGGATTCTCCTTCCATCCTGTTAAACAAATACACCTGGATTTAAATGTGGTTGCCAGAAGATCTCACTGACAAGACTGATAGTCCATGCAAAATGTTGTTTGGGTTATTTTTAATAAGTTTCCTTTATATTATTGCACAATGAACTCCAATTTGTGAATCTTAGCTTTAATTCCTTTTCAACCTCTATTATAATTAGTCCCCCTCTCATTAAGAAGTGAGCTGAAAACCTAAGCCAATCTCATTATGCAGGGATTCAAACAGGCCAAACACACAGCCGATTTACCTTCTAAACAGCTAAAATTCTCCTGAATTCTAAATCCCCTGTTGTCTGAACTCAGCTTTTGGCATTTCAGGCAATAAATTACACACTCATATCATATTTCCAGCAGTCACACACTCATCACGATACAACCTTCAAGATCTTCTCTTTCCACAAAAAGGGAGCTGGCAGAAATACATAGATGCTCTTAACAACAATTCCTGCCAATCCTGCATTTGTAGTAGTTGTCAGAAGGAAGAAGCTTTTGATTAGGAACATGGACAAGACCAAGTAACTCCTCTCTACTCCTCTGTCCAAAACCAACACACATAAGCAGTGTTCAGGCCTGGAAGCCTGGGGGAAGGCAGAGGACCACACAAAAGACTAAGACACTAACACTGTTCCCCATAATTAAGCCCCAAGCATGCAGTGACAGCCAGCTAGACAAAATACATACTTGGGACTTTTGCTTTATTTTGCTCCTGATTCTCCAACTCAAGACAGCAACAGTTCAGCTAAGACACTGCAGTACCTTTCTTGTTTGCAACATCTACTTAGCCACCTCCTATTACATCCCAAATGATAATTAAAAATTCTGTTATATGAAGAGGTAAGGCCATTAAGGTACTTCTGCTTCTAGGGTGCTAAATTTTACCGTGTTATAGAACGTTAACATAGGTAAGCTATTATCATAGCTATCAATATTAAGAGTGGAAAATCCATCCAAAATTACTATTTTCCACACAATGTTGGTATACAAACCACTATGCAGGTATTTATTAATTCATCATCTAGAAGCCTAGCACATCACTGAAAACACCTTATCTCAGAGGACTGCGTTCAAAGCTTTAGGACAAGAATACCTTTAGCAACAGCACTGACATCTTCATAAAATCCAGCTATAAGTGCAACGTGCCCCGGCCTGGATTCTGTCGGGACCCGGGTATGAGAGATTCCCCAGCTGCCATTGTTCTCTAGAATACCCCTGAAAACAGGATACAAGGCAGTTAATGCTCATGACTTCTTGAAAGCACAACAAATTGCAAATAAAAAGAGTACAGGTAGATGAGAATCAGGAAATGCACAAAAAAAACCTCCAAAAGAACCCCCAAAAAACCCCCAGAACACAGACTAAACCAGATTTTCACTACCACCTGCTGTGCAGTAAAACAAGCAGAACATTAACCTGCAAGTAGTTCTATATTATGACACCCCACAGAGAACATTACTATTGTGGCCCATCACCACTGCAAACAGATGAGTTGCTGGTGTTGTAAGACACTTCAAATTAACATACTATTTTTTTCTGCTGTTTTCCACTTTAGCTTACTTCCCCCCGATAGATTGTTTCTGCCTGCTGCTGCTTTTCTTTGTTCTTTCCATTTTGCTTGAAAGTGTCTAGTTAAATCTTACTCATTAAATATGCTCAAATATAATCAGTTCTTGTGACCATGTCTGCCTTTTTCTGTGCTGAATAGCAGAAGCCAGCATCAAGAGAATCTGAACCGCATGAAAATTTAAGCTGCAAATAATTTTGGCAACAAGAAGAAAATTTAAGTAAACCTTGTATCTTCTGTAATTACACCAAAGTGAAGGAGAATACCTTCTCACCACACATACAGAAATAGATCAAATTGTCTAGGGTTTATGCAGAAACAATAGTTACAACAGATAAAAAGCAAAGAAAACAGGGACAAAACCCAAGCGTAAGAAATAGCCTCATAAACTATTCCTGTCTGCTGAAGATATGAACAGCTGGGGCCTGTCGGACAGCAAGTGGTGAGCACTACCATATGCTGTTTTCTTGTCTCCATCTTCTGGAAGAAGAGGAAGATTCAGCTTACTGTCAGAGCAAAGGGAGAAAGAAAACCAAACACACCCTGACACTCCTTATACTGATTTTTAGGATAAAACAGCAGAATCTTCTGAACAAATTCAAAGCAGTTTTTAACAGACAAATTACTGGAAAATTGTACTTTTGTTATTCATGATATAAGATAAAAAATTGGCTATATTCTTATCAGATGTATTTTAGCCCAAGTAAATTCTAATTTCATGCTTTTTAACTTTGCTTTTAATAGAGATTTTATATGACTGTTAGTTACAAGACCTCTATACTCAGCTGTAAATATATTTTTCACTAATGAAGTAAAAATCAAACTACAGCCTAAAATTTCAGGCTCTACTCTAAGGTTGCAGCATTCATGGTTTGCTTGTGCTTTTTTAATCTTATTTTAGACCTCACATTCTCATGGCCTAATTGAAAGCTCACAGAACTGCTTGGAATACCCCTAATACTAGTGAGAAATATAAAAGCACATAGAGACATAGCACTCTGGCATGTTATTTCTAGCTCTCATCTCAGCTAGGTTTTAAGGCAAGTTGTACTGAAAAAAGTGCTAATTTTTGAAAACAGAATTTAAATATTACTTGAAGTGGTTTCCAATTTATTCTCACTAAAGACTGATCAGGATGTATTGCACTAGTATTCAAGGAAAATTTAAAACAAAAATAAAACATGTGCAGCTATTGTCATACTTCATTGTCACAACAGGTAGGAAATTGTTTTAAATAGAATTTGATTTCTATTGAATTGAAAAGTAATCCTCTACCTTTGCTTTTGTGGGACTGTTGTCAACAAGAGGATTGACTTCAGGATCTCAAGTCAACAATAATACATACCAAGCAAAAAGATGATTGATAGATAGATAGATAGATAGATAGATAGATAGACAGATAGATAAAAATATAGCCAGATATCATAATTTACCTATTCAGAATTAATTTAGCTATTTTGAATCATTTCAAAGCCTTTTACTCAGAAGAACCACTGAAAAAAAATTAATTTCCTTGACAGTATAAACATTAGCTACCCATAATAACAATGATAAATATTAATATGATAGAGTAATATGGCTGAAACATGACAGGCAAGGAAGAAAACATCTTCCCTGAAATCACCACCACAGCAATTCAGACCGCCTACTATTCCTCACAGCTATCACAACACTGCTGAAAAACAGATTTTTCAAGAATATTTGTAAAAGACTAGATACTTGGCATATATCATCTAGCAATCTGCTTCAAGCCTAATGGATATTTATTTTTAATTTCATGTACCTAATAAAGTTTTGCTTCTATTTATAGCACATTGCTACAAGAAGGGTTCTTGCTCCTTTAAAGACAATCTTACCACATTAACAACACAGTAGTTCCCCAAGTGCTCCACCTGGATAAGATTAGTAATCTGGATGTCATGTTGCCTACTACTATGAAGTGGATAAGGGACTGAACACTTACGAATGAATGTGCACAAAAAGTAAACTTGATATTAAATTGCATTATATTATTGGAATTAATATTATTAATATTATTGGAAAAGGAATGCTCAGACAGCAATAACTTGGCAGAATAAAAAAGGAAACACTTCCAGAAACCAACATCTTATCTTGTCAACTTGTTTACAATGTTAACTTATGTAAGTTATGTAACTTAAAGGTTTGGTGACAAAACACTGAGCCTCTTGATTCGAAATTGCGGAAGCTCATGCAATGGATCTGAAGATACGCTCTGGGCTCCACATTTCAGAAAGTGTGACATGCCACATGTTTTTTCTTGTCATCCTCTCTCACACAAACACGTTCACACTCAGGTACTTCCATGCAGAATGAGAGACGAGAAAAATACAGATGGCACTTCAAACCTCTACTGGCATTTTCTTCCACTCAGTGACCTGCCAGCATCTTCGCTTGTTACAAGACAGTTCTTCCCCATTCACCCATGTACCTTCAGCACTGGTGACAATGTTTTACTTCTACAGACTCTGAAAGATAAAGCCTCTAACTACACGAACAAGGTGAAGCAGAGACAACAAAAGTGCCAACTTTCCAGCATTAGACTAGCCAACACATGGTTTAACTTTTTTCTAGATAGGCATAATAATGCTGAATGGCTTGAACTTAAAAACTCAAATCCTTTAACGGTAAAAATACCCACTCTAACTCTTTCCTGGACACCACCCACCACTGCTCCTACTGATGGGGACATTTCAGCATTCACACCTTGATGGTGTTGGTTGATGATGGAAAAGACCAACAGTTTTACTGCTAAGAAAAGAAACTGTTCTGAAGTAAGTGTGAAGTCCACTGCTAAAAGACAAGTCCCACTGATGTGTCAGACATCTGCCAGTGGCAGAGAGCACTTTATAAAAACAGTAACAACAGCAGAAGCAGGTATAACTAAGCTCATATAAGCTGGTGAGTACTGCAGCAAGGACCCCTCAGATTTCTTTACTACTTTTGCAGTAGCGGACTGCAAAAGCCCTAGCAGCTTCAGATGTTTGATTATTTGGGTTTGCTCTGATATTCAAGCCAGACCAGTGCTATTACACAAAAGTAGTCTTATTTAATACTGTCTTTCTTTTTAGGCTAAGAAATTAATTGTCTTATAATCAAATAATTATCTCAGTAAAAGGAAACGGGGAAAGTTAATGAAAATTGGTTCTAAGCACGCAAGGCTATGACTTTTTGGTAGGATTTATTTTTCACAACCTTAAACCAAATCACCCCCTTAAGCAATCAGACACACAATAGGGAGCACAAGGAAGGCAGCAAGGTCAGGCATGCAGGAAGGGTGGAATAAAGAGGAGGTGGCAGCCTGCTGTTAGATCCATTCAGGACATCTCTTAATCACTCCTTGAAAAGCTTAAGAGTTAGAAGACAAGCACGTTAATGAACTACTACTCTTAAACTGAACATCCAGGAAGCAGTTAAATTAACGCCTGTCAGGCTTCAGAATTGACACCATGCTGATGTGAATGGAGAAAGTTCACACTCCTCTCAGTTACTGCCTATCTGTAGTGTGCAGGAGACAATATTGACTCAATTTACAGTGCTCCTGCTTTAGCAGCTTTCCTGACAAGGGACACCAACTCAAACTCACACAGAGTGTAACTCTAATTTAAAGTTTGTCACTTCAAAGGCAGAGGGAAAGCAGTATTCAAGCCACCGCAGCTGCCGTCATTCTTCTTGTTCTCTTTTTGACATTACACAGAGTTGCCCTCAGAAGCGAAATCTCGTGGATCAGTAGAGTTTTCAGATGGACTTACCGCAGGTAAGGTGCCTGGGGTGTGCCATTGCTGTTCAATTCATAGAGCGAATCTGCTCGCAGACCATCAGCAACAAAGAGTACAAGACGTTTTGCTGGAGGTGGCAGTGGAGTCTGCTGAGGGGTCATTCCATGGACCAGGGGAGAGCTGAAGTAGATGTCAAAAATGGAGACCAAGAACACACAATGCACAAGGAGACCAGCGAGTATGAAGACTGGTATTTTCATGGCAACAGCTGGCTGACAAAGGCAAAGTCCAACACTAAGAAGGAGTGAGAAAAATAAAGTCAGGCAGATGAGACTTATCAGAATCAGTATTTATTTCAGTTGTTATGGAATGTGAGTACAACATTAGCAGTCATCACCCAGGATCCACAATCAGTTTCTGTTTCCAACAAGCTTTTTCCCCAGAAGTTTTGGTCAAAAGCCACTGCATGACTAATTCAGATTTTCAGAGAGCCATTACGTCTCAGCAACTCATCTCTGGTTTTTACTGGTTTATTAGATGGCTTCAAAGGACCACTAAATCAAGTCAGTTTGTTTTGTGACCTACATCAGTGACAGAAGACTCAGACAACACAAAGTCTCCATGAACATACTACCCTCTACTGGCTAGTTGCACAACAGAGTTGAAGTCTGTTCAGGCAAATGCGAGCCAGACAGTTAGAGAAAGCCATCCTATAGCAAACATCCATCCAATACTGCTTTTCTTCCCAAGTTTGCTATCAAATCTGGGCTCGTTATATTTTGCCTAGAAACAGAAACCTTCTTCTAAAAAGGACAAAGACACTGTCCTGAAAGCAGAACACTATTCCTCTTCTAAAACAGGTGACAAAAGCACAACAGCTGCAGAATTATGTTTCAGGGATAATTATATTCCCTTTCTGAATGTTTGTTTGGGTTTTTTTCTGCCCTGTCATCCTCTGATGTCAGATTAGGGATACAAATATGCTTAATAACAGGTTCGCTGGAAATGTACATGTTTGCCAAGTGTACTGTGGGGTTCGGGCGATGCCTACTGAAGGTAAATATGTATATTGGCTCAGGTAAGTGTGAGATTTAAGCTGGAACAAGGCTTAGTTCTGACAAAGTACTGTTAGTGCCGTCCAAGCTGCTAACTTAGTTATTTAAATATCAGCTAATTATCAACCTTAACAAAACAGTACCTCCACTCATCAATTTAGAAACATATGTTCCTAACAGCCTGGAAGGTTCAGATTACCTGTGTATATACACACCTCTCTCTAAAAGAAACACTTTGTCAAGAATCAAGTTAGTGCTTCTAAATGACAGTATACATATTATCTTGTTACTTACAGAATTCCAGTGGCTGAACAGGCACAGACAGCCACCATATGGTAAGACTATTACTTTTATCAAATAAGGATAAAAGGCTTCAATACCAAATTAACTTTAATTCTGACCAAAACTCTGAAAGATTATTTTTAAAATAATTTTTTTGGTAAAGGTCAGGAAAGCTAGAGGAAAAAAGAACATACTAATAAAGATTTGAAAGTTAATATATAATATTACTTGCTAATCAAAAGAAAGTTCAGATCTTTATACAACTTAACCATAACTTCTAATTTCACCCATTTTCCTTACTGAAACACAGATGCAACAACTCCAACCCTAATTCGAAACACTTCTATAGTAATTTCTCATTTGAGAGTTTTGGAGGGAAAACCACATAACAAAATAGAGATAACTTAATACAACATCTCAAAGAGACATGCAGTAGTCACATTTAAGTGATCAAACAAAAACTTTTTGTTAATCAGGATCTTACATGCTTCTATGTCTACAAGTGAGATTCCAAGAGAGACTTGGGATATCTGTAAATATAATTTTGTTTATTTTTAAGCATTCAGGGTTCCTGCATCAATTTAAATATATGAAATCACAATCACAGAAATACCACTAAGTTCAATGCCAGACCTCATTTTATTCAATCAGTTTTATTTTCCATAGGGCTTTTTCTTTTGATGTAGTTGTGCTTGATAAGAGAATCCAAACTATTCACGCCTTAAACTGATGAGACTAAACACCCTACTAAACAAAGCAGTAAATTCTACCAGGTACTTGTTGCATACTCCCAGTGCTACAGTTCTATAGCTTAACATATTCTATGTTCTTCTAATTAAAGTATTACTAACATAATCTGTTTTCTGCATTAGCTATTTCTCTTGGCTTTAACTCTCCCCAAGCCTCAGTCCTTGCTTGCAGCAAAAGAGTGCAGTCAACACAATTTAAATTTAATGCTGTCTTAGAATATAGTATCTATGGAATTAATTAAAAAAAAAAAAAGAAGGATACTTTCTTTTGCAACCAGTTTGACTACATTACACTAGACTATTCATCTGGGCCCAACATATCCAACTGCTCATCACCATCACGTGGTTTGCAGACAGGCAGCTCCCAGAGCTGTGCTTTTGCCACATCCCTCACAGCCGCTCCTTCTGCCTCTAGCTTAGCTTACATTGTTCCTTTAATGCATGACTTTGTGTGTTATCACTGTGACATAACATTGTGAAAAGTATTCCATCCTCAGGCTTAACAAATACTTTCCCACAGATATATAAAGGGCTTGGAAAGCTCCTAATTGCATTCAGCTGAATGTCAGAATGGCACCTTACGCCCTTTCCTAATGAAGGTCTGGCTTTCAACCTACTAAGCCACTAAGGTGTTGCAAAGGAGCACTCATCTGTGGATAGAGAGGCACCAGTGACCTTCTACACCTTTTATCTTGATTAAGTTACCACTAAACTGGGTTCTTGCCAGCCCAAAGTGCTTGAAGTTCATTTAAGACAGTTGATTTGCGAAATATATCCTCCTGAGACATCAAAAGTACCAGAGAAGAACAAAACATTTCCAGTAACTGGTTTTCAATGGAAAAGGAAGTTCTTTATCACTGCCTAGGTTCCTCTGGGACTTCCAAACCAAAGCACCCATCATATCCGTGTAGGACAAACACCCAAGACCAGCAATCTTTTTCTTCCCCCTTTGTGGTTTTGCATCACCATTTGACAGGCTAGTTTGAAGCCCAGTCTGAACCTGCCAGTCCAACATGGAATCCAGAAGCTGAACAGGATCTCAGGCGTTCTGACAGGCCTGTCAGTATTATCAGGAGCTGCAAATGGAAGCACTGGTATCAAACTCCTTGGGGCTCAATGGCCTTCTAGCATGTTTTTCTGGCTGGGAAGCAGCTAACCCAGTAAATACTGGGTGCTCAGACATTCCTCAAACCATTTTGATACAGAGAAAGCAGAGCTACCACTGTGTATGTATCTGTCCCACCAGGAAACATGCTTATCTATGTACTATTTCTCTGCGTCTCACACAAGATACAGAAAATAAACCCAGCTTCTACGGGATAATACACAACAAAAAAAAGTCCTTTAACTTTCTCCTCCCTCTGTTACAGAGGTCATAATGAGCATATTTCTCTGTACAGCCCAGTGCTTGACTGTTTAAGGCAGAAAGCTCACAAGGCATGGAAATAACAAGGATAACGATTTCAATAACAATTTCTTGCTTGTAAGGAAAAAATAACCAGGATAAAAGGGAAAAGTGGATTAAGCACTAGCTTATAAGAAAAAGTAAAAGCCAAAGCCTGTTGAGAGAAGAAAAATAGAGATGTATTAAACACACAGAATTTTGAGGATGAGGAGCCAGATGTATTTATTACTAGTGCCAAAACATCCCTGCCCTTAGGTGCCTGACCATCCAAAATGTGGATAAACAAACTGTCACTTGAAAATATATCTTACATCTTTCTGTCAAGAAAACTTAAGCCAAGTATATCTCAATATTTTTGTGTTCTGTAATATTTTCTCAGGCAATCCCTTGGCAAGTGATTTAGTGCACTACCTTCCATAGTCCTTATTTTCACAAAGCAAAACACAAACTTTGCTCAAATTTTAACTGCATTATTCTACTTAATTCTGTTAAGCCATTGCCTATTACATCAAGAGAAGCTCCTAGCCATGTAGGTAAAAAGAGTACATTGCAACCTCTTTGTCACATGCCATTTCTTTCTGTCCATCCAAATACATCAATTGTTATAACAGAATCCTAATACAGGCAGCCAAATCACCTGCTCTATAGACTCAGCCCAACTAGTAAGGTATATATCAGACTCAGATTTATTCTTTCTGCATTTTTCCCCTTCTGTCACTATCTCTTAAACTAAATACAGAGCCAATAATGATACTGTCCAACCTACAGTATGTCAGAACTTAAACTATTCCAGTAAAATAGTTTTTGTTCAAATAATTTGGAGTCAACAACACAAAGCTGGTGTGAATTCTTCAGTGAAGACCCTTTCCAGATCCTTAGCTGGAAAGTACTAAAGATCCACTAAGCTTCTCATTGCCTATTAAATGCGAGTTGTTCACATGAACAGATCAAGTAGAAAATTAGCACCGCCCTGGTGATGCCGGTGATGGGGGGGTTGGGCTTCAGCATACTTGAGAGCTTCTCACATTACTGGATGTTGTACCTGAGCAGAGATGAGACCAAGAACACACAGGGGAGCAACTGAACTGAGAGACAGCAAGGCAGAACCCCAGGACACCCTTCTGAAGAGTCTAGGAGATTAAAGAAAGAAAAGCAGCAAGGACCTTCTGACTGCAATTAATTACTTTTCCAGAATAAAGTGATACACAGATTAGAGAAGGGTTTTTTGGTGGTACTCTGCCCTCTCACACTGAATTCTCAGAGAGAAAGTTCAGCTCCCAGGTGGTGGCAGAGTGGATGAAGGGATTCTTTCTTTCTTTGTATTTGCACCCACCAAAACAATATCCAAAACTCCTATCAGCTGTGAGTGCCTCACCAACAGCTGTGTCAGCGCGTGGACTAAAACACCCAGACTGTGATGGTGGCAGGGGAGCAAGAGAGCTGCAATGAGCCACCTAAGCACAACCATTGGACAAGAAGCAGGCAGGTTATTTCCTCATATGAGCTTCTCCCTCTTTTCAAGCTGATCCATAACTTGTTGACAAGACTTTTTTTTTTTTTTTTAACCTTCTTTTTGACTCACGCCATAGAAACTACATCCACAGCCTCAGGTTGGATCAGGTCCCTCAGTGCTGAACAGGAAGGCTGACATAATTAAATGCAGCACACATTTTCCCTAAGTAATCCACATCTTAGCTGCATCCCCTCTGAAGTTATAATCTCTCGGCATTATTTATAAGGCAAAGAAAACCAGACTTGTACTGCAATACAGTACAGTTCTTCATAAGAAATGTAACATTTTGCTTTTATATTTTTCTTTCTAAAATATGCAATAAAACATACACAAAATACTGCATGGAATATGCCTCACTGGCAGGAATATTTTGTTAAGGACAATAAAATGTCAAAACAGGGAGCTCAAGATACATTAGTCATTCCTTTTAGAGGAACCATGCTTCACTAATACTGTCGAGTCTGTTGATTAAGATGAAGAAAATCCATTGGAAATGCATTTTCAATAAGCACCAATGGCCTTGGTAAGCATCTTTTACAGAAAAGAGCAATAGACAGGAATGCCTGCTGTGTTTCTGTCTGACTAATATACTTTTCAACTAAACAGGGTTGTGTATTTTGTAATTTAAACTGTCAAAGTAGTGACTGCACAATTTGTCCATCCATAAAAAATGATGCTTTTCCTTAGGGCAGAGGAGCAAAGTGGAAGTTGTGCAGTCCAACTGACAGTACGGTGCATGGTATGGCAGCTATACAACATCTAAGATGGTGTTAGCAGGCCCTACTCTATGCTTTTACTAATTAAGATTTTTAAAGAGTTATACTAGTCAAAAAATGCAACCAAGTCCTTCCTGCTGTCACAGCACATACACCTATTGACTGCACAAGACACTAATTTATCCAAGACCATACAAGACACTGACTGTAACTGATACAAGAGATTTGCCAGCCAGTCTCTGAGTAACTCTCCGTCACATCTTTACACACCTCCTAAACATAAGAAACCCAAAATTCTCATCCTGACTTCATTGTGGAATCATACTATGAAGAGGGAAAATGATCAAGTCTCTTTTCATCTTCTCCAAAATTTCATTTTCTTTCTCTATTGAATCACAACATTCTCTCCCACACAATGAAACTGCAGCTAGAGTATTTCCACTTGCTTTGGCACTAAAGTAGCTTTTGTAATTCACAGCATCTCTTTAAAATTATTTTACGTTCAACGACTTCACTGAGCATTTTAGAGATTATAATAACAAATGACATCTGTTTTAAATTTTAAATGTGGTTCAGTAAAGCACATCCAAACCTGAGGCAAAGAGTTCAAAGAATATTTAATTTTCTTTTTAACATCACTTGATAATCAAAATTACTCTGCCTGCCTAGAAAAGTCTCTCTTGCCAAAACTTTCCAAGGAGAAATTTGACTACGGCCTGTAAAGCACCAATAAAACATTGTGTCCTAGTACTTGAACATAGTGTGAATCAGTCACCCCAATGTCAGCCTGCGCAATTTTCTCTGAATTATCCTTAAACATGGGAAATTGTATCCACAAGTCTCCCAGGCAAAAAAATCCACACCTGAGAACAATACTGCCAATGGGACAGCATTGATAAAGAGAACAAGAAGAAATCTTTAAGAAACAATGAGCACTTTGAGGTATGAAAGACAAAATAAGAGCATCAGCCTTTGGTACCACTTGTCAACCAAGTGGAGATAGAAGAAAGAGTAGAAATTCAGCAAAAATTACATCTGCTCAGTGTGTAGGCAGCTACAAATTCAGAATTTGGAAAAATCAAAACCCAACAAGAAACTCTGAGTGGTCTTGCTGTGAATTAGCTATTTCACTGAGTAACAGTACTTGGGAGGGACTATGCCTGTTCTCAGGAGGTATTTGCAAATCCTCCTGCATATTGCTTGATTTCCAAGTCATACAGCAATATTCTACCAGCAAGTCTTCTTCAAGCTCTACTGTTCTACAACTTAACATCATATTTTCATCTCAATATGGACTGTTGCATTCTTTTTTGTGCTACCAAAAGTAGCAGATTTTCTCAGTTTTCTCTATTCTTGTGGGGAAAAGAAAAAAAAAGGAAAAAATTTTTTTTCCTGTCACTGTGTTTTTCTTACCCTGTTTGGAGATTTTGTAGACAGATCTTTCATATTAAATGTTTTATGGTACACTTCTGGGGAAAGAACATCATCCTGAGAGTGTCTAACAGAATGCATCCCACCAATTTTCACAGGTGCCAGGGTCAAGGGACAAGTGGCACTTGAGAGAACACAAGTACATGGGAGATAGCTTGTCACAGCAGTCTTGCTATCTCATTGCAGCCCTCCCTGACAAACCAAGGCTGAAGGCCCCCTGAGATATTTTAAAGACATTTGCAGTAAAACTACAGAATAAAGCACGAGTATCAATACAAGGACAATTCTGCCCTTTAACAATAAGAGGGGCAAGGATCAAACTTTTTAAAGTCATACAGCAAATATTAATGTAGAGCATACAGGAAAGAGGATGCAAAAAAAGAACAACTTTCAACTTCATTGCTTTGCAAAATCAGTTTGCAAATGTATTATGCATACATATAGAGAAAAAAAACCACTCTTGAACAAAAAACACCCCAAACAGTGCTTAAAGTATGTTCCATAGAAGCTAGTCTGAATAAGGAGGGTTTAAAAAAGCTGACAGAAGCTGTTTTTCCTTTATTAAGTCACATTTGCTTATTGATATAAAGCACTACAAATCAAAAAGAATTATGTCAAGTAGTAACAAGCCACATCTGCTGAATCTTATACATAAGCCTCTGAATGTCAATTTGCCAATAGCTTCAGTTTGAAGGAAGAAAAAAAAAAAAGAGCCACAAGACAACCTTCCAAGCATACACTAATACTTTCATAGAAGGTATACAGTAGTCAAATAATCAATTTGTAGATTTCCATCCTTTCAAAAGCTTTCTTTTTTTTTTCTTTTTTTTTTTTTTAATAAAAGGACTTTGGAGCTTTTGAGTTCGAAAGTAGTACTTACTTATGCTAGCCAGTTGACTATAATGTATAGCTGAATACTATTCAATTGGCTAGCAGGATTTTTATTTTATATACCTATACCTGCCAGACTTCAGCTCACAACAAAGCTGACACAGAAAGAGGTAAGTTAAATTTCCCACTGAGAACAAAAACTCACTTAAGGCCTGAGGTGAAGGCACAGCAGGAAAGCAATCCCAGTCGGAGAGGTATTACACACCACACCCTGGGGACTGTGTAAGGGCGGAGGAGGCGATGGCCGGTGCCCCCTCGGGACCCGCAGCCCCCGCATCCCGGCGCTCTCCAGGGTCCTGCATCGCTGCATCCCAGCCCCTGGGAAATCCCAACGTCAGAAAAGGCTGTCAGGAAGTACCTCTTCGACATAAAGAAATGGAGGGTAAAAAAATTCCAATTCCTTTAATTACCAAGCGAAACAAGCTATTAAAATGAATAGCAGTAGTCAAGTTATAACATGCAGGAAAGCGCTAAGAAGGATGGGTTACACCCCCTTCAAAAGAGCATTCAAGTACTCAAGCAGTAATGTAAGTATATACAATATTTGTCCAAGGATATCTTGAGACATAAGACACAAAGCTCACTCAGCTTACGAGTTACTGCAGCCTGAAACACTGATACTCACTTTAGAACAAAGTTGTGTTTGCTCCTACATCAACCTCTACTAACCAAGTAATTAACACTCATTAGCATTTACGATATATCAACGCGTAAACAACGGCTGAAACCCTGTGAGCTTGCATTAGTTATCATGACAAATCCAAGCCACTTTTCATTTGTATAAGACACCTTTACTTTTCAGCTGCTGACTCACTCTAATAATTACTAGAGCCAGGAAATTATTCCTGAAAACAATCAGTATTCTGCCTCTTTGCCATATGGGGCACTGCTGATTTAAAGCAGCACTCGAACTGTTTTGACAAATGAACGGTAGTAGATTCCTTGTAGGAAAAAAAAAAAAAGCTTAGAGAGCAAGAAAAAAACAGCTAGAGAGAGACCCAGAAACCTAGAGAACACAGATAGGCAGCATTTCTCTGGTTCTCATTCACATCTTCTCCCACCCCCAAAATGGAGAATCATTTGTAATTTCCTGATCTCTCTACTGGCAAAAGAGGGGAATGGATCTGACTGAGAGATGATGACAATTCTATTGTGAGACAGGCACCAAAATCAGCTTAATGTCAAGAAGATGAAGTATACCTAAGTTAGTATCTGCTCTCAGGGAGGACACAAGCAGTTAGTTTTGAGGTGACAGGAAAAATCTATTATCTGTGTATCAGTTATTGACTTGTACACTACCACCTATAAAAATCTGCTTGCAACTAAAAGCATATTTTCAAAAATACTTAGGACCAGCACGGCAAATATATTTTATTAGGTATTTTATACAAAAATGGCTGTCATGGGAGTAGCAGTTAACAGAACAAGAGGTCTTCACAGTCACAGATATTCCAAGAAAAACCAAGCCAGTACAGCTGCAGACAGCTGTCCTGTCCTCCTCTGCTCCTGCCCACTTATTCCCATGCCAAGTCTCTTCCTTAGTCTGGCACAGCAATCTGTACAACTTTATAGTCAAGCATCCTGGAGAATGAATTCAACTGAAAATAACATAAAGAAAAAAAAAGGGAAGAAAGAGTAAAGATGACTTGGCTGTAGTTTAGTTCCCCAAATTCCCAAAACAAACCTCTGTGATGGCACTAGGACAGGACTGCATCTCCTCCCAACAGTGCTAACTCAGCATGTTCAAAGCATGTCCTCACATTCCTTCATTCCCTGAAGCCTGCATCTCACACTAGTTGTAGTCAGCAGGCCATATAAAGAAAATAGGTGGATTTTTTTTTCCCCAAAACTGTGAAAGTACTAAATTGAAGGGGAATAATGTGAAGTAAATAAATAACAGCCAGTCTTCGCAAGCGAAGATCCGAGGAAGGTCTTTACACCTTCCAGCCTGCGCATTGGATTTTTTAGGTGAGACACAGTGTGCGCGGAACTGAGCCCACCCTTTAATCCTAAGGTTCATCTGCCGGGGCCAAGCGAGCTTGGACGGTGGCAGCGAGGTCCTTAGGATGTAGATGGGTTGCCTTTTTAAGGGCTAACGAGCTCCATCTGCCCAGGAATGTGAAGTAGACAAGTCCAAAAAGCACAGAGCAGTGACATGGGGTTAGCATAGCAGCATTCCTGCAAGTTGGGCCATGTTTCTGCTATGATAGGAAGGTCAATAAGACCTTTTCAATGTCAAGCCTTAATTGTCTTGACCTCCACAAAGTTTCAGTAGAAGACACCTTACCAAATTCAGGCAAAACAGCATGTCATATAAACTTGTACCTTTGGACCTTAGAACTCAAGAACAACTTTATAGTGACTATTTTCCTACTTTACTTGGTGCACTATCTCCCTTCCCCACCGCGAGGCAAGGCAAGGCACAACATCTCAGAGGGGTCTATTAGCCTCTACGAGAGCTTTCTGGGCACCTACACTTCACACAACACACTCTGTCTTTTAGGCTAAGGTGAGCGAAGCCCAAGCAATTCAACACTCAAGAGTTTGTGGTGTCATAAAAGGTCACATTTTGATTTGCAATTTATGTCTCCTCACTCATCCATAACAGCATTTTTTCCATCTGTTCATTCTCGCAAAAACATAAATACATGCATAATGAAGCTTGAACAAGTTTTCTAAAATAGTTCTTAGGCTCTGAGGGTTTGCTTGCTCTGTTTTTGATGGTAGACTTTCAAATATTCACTGTTCACAGTAATGTTTCAAAAGAGTAGTCTCAGAGGTAGAAAAACACAGCCAAACTTGAATTCAAAGTGATTTTGGGAGTTTGTTTTGTTTAATTTAGGTCCTTATCCAATTTCACGCGTCATTATCGCATTTTAGTGAGGCTGAAAATATTTCTGAGAGCCCCCTCACATTGCTGTACTACTTTTACTTAAAATCTCAATTTAACAAACACTTTTTAAAGTCAGTTTCTCGGGGTAAAGCTACACCTGTAGGTAACACACAAGTAACTATTAACTACTGATACAGGCTACTCTCATTAAGAAACATACTCTTAAATCTGGAACAGACAGATACAGTTTCAGAGAGATGGCAGAGGTCCTTAAGCACAAGCTACCAACATTATGAGTCTCAACAGTTGCATTATTCAGTTCCTGCAGAATTATCAAAATATTTTTGAGCTTAGAGAGTTTACAAAGCACTAAAGTTCATTTTTTAAGGTCTGAAGGCAAACATAAAAATCATAACTTCCTTTAGGTTTCTTTTGAAAGGGGGTAAAAGTTAGTCTTAAATAAACATGTATAGACAAAGATTCTTTCAGGAAGCTCAGTTTTACAAGAAAACTTGAGCAAGAGTTGGCAGAACGCACAGATCAGCATTATTTTAAAGTAGAAATCAGATTTGTTTCAGATTTGCCTCCGTTATTTTGTTCCCTGTGCCTTGATTGAGATTCAAATCAGACAAAAAAACCCCAAAACTACCCTACTTCACTGTAGGATTCATTAGAACACATTATTTCATATATGTCAAGTATTCAGCACAGAAATAAACCAATAATTATCTAACAGAATTAATTACTTTAAAAGAAATTAATCTTGCATTTAGAAGCTGAAACAGAAAACCCTTATAGCTTGAGTCAAACTGCGTGTTCACTCACAGTGAAAGCAGCTGATGCTGCGCCACAGTAGCACAGAAAGAAAGCACACTTTACACACCCACAACCCCACCAAATAGCAGAGGGAACCTGAAACTGGTCATGTTTAAGTTCATCAAACTTTGAACCATTAGCTCAAGATTTTACACTCCTATTGATATGAACACAGTAAAAGCCAAGGCTGATTTTTTTTCTACTTCCTTTCCATCTCAGGAACCATAACTTTAAAAGTTCATTAAAAAAAAACCCATGCACAGACTGAAAAAATTGCTTATACACCACCTCCTCCAAAAATCTCCTAAGATCTTTATTCTACAAGCCCCTTGGATTTTGGATACTCAGCTTTCCACAATGTATTTTGGTATGCTGTTCTTCAGACACAGAACTCAAATCCTTTAAAAGTTAGAAGGAAACACCAACTCCAGTAAAAGACAAAGCAGTTTGATGAATAATCTGCCTCTTTCAGAATGACTACTGAATAATTTAAGAAAAAATTAATTTGCAGTTGTCTGCCTCATGTAGACCTATATAATGCTCTATTTCCAGAACTCATGTGTCTTATTCTCCCTCACACATCCTCCACAGTACTAGACTACAAGGCTTTATTTTCAGGTTTCTCAAAGCAATAGCCCTTTGGTACCTAAGAAACTGTTTAAAGTAAGTTGTCAGAAGCACATTTTTCTACCTACACTCTGTAATACACATTTTAGCTACGTTAGCTTTGTCCCAGTCATCCATAAATTATTTTGGAGCAACTGAGCGACATGTGTAAATGTTTCAGTTGTTTCACAAACCCAAACAAGCCTCTTCCAAAGTACTGAAAGAATGAATGTTTTTAGGTTATTTTCGGTGCGGAAGAGAGAAAAAAGTTAGTCCTTACTGTAACAGCACACTGGAGTCGGCAGAAATTACTTTCTTATAAAAAAAGGTAGAATTGAGCGTTTGGACTCCCCTCAGGGTAACCCTTCCCTGTAATCGAGTCACATGCGAGCACTCCCCATCGTCACCAGAGGCCGCTGCAGGACACCGGCAGGGCTTTCCCTCCATCCTTTATAAAGGAAGAGGCACAACACCAGACTAGGCTTTTAACAAGCTTGTACTGAATATGCTTTAGCTCTCCAGGGAAGGAAAGGAAAAAGCAGAAGGTTTCTTTAAGGGTTCCTAATTCCACCGGAGCAGCAACAGTAAAATGTTTTTGTTCTTATTCTTATTGTGATCCTACTCAAATTTCAACACAGCACCATTTTACTTCACGCCACAACCAGTTCATGCTCTGCCGCTCAACGCTCTTTTTGTGTATCAACAACATAAAACAGTAAGGTAGTGATAAAATGCAAAGTTTTTTGTGGGACAGGATGCAAAATTGATCATGCAGTTTACAAAAAAAATTATGCAAATCTGAACCAGAAGGAAAGCAGCAGTCTTTTACGGCACACCACCGTGTGAATGGAAGAGTTTGCAGTCAGCACCCAACAGTGCTTTTAGGTCTCCATATTGCTGCAAAACGTTCCCACTATTCTACTACCAAGAGTTCAGCCCCAGTAAGTAATTCCTAATGAATCAGCTTTACACAGAGCTCCCATTAGTGGGAATGGAACATAATTTGAAAGAAACAAAACAGAAACCAATGCTGGCCTTGTTCCACATCATTTTTAATGAGCTGAACTTCCTTCAGTAGCAAAGAGTACCTGTAGCTACACTCTGACTTGGAGTTTCTCATCAGGCAACACACAAAGTAACACTTCACATCATCTTTTCAAGACCGGTAACTTCAAACTTCCAGATGCACAACTTCATAGAATCATAGAGCCTTTAAGGTTGGAAAAGACCTCTAAGATCACTGAGTCCAACCATTAACCCTGCACTGCCAAGTCCACTGCTAAAACACGTTCCTAAGTGCCACATTCACACATCTTTTGAATGCTTCCAGGGATAGTGATCCCCCCACTTCCCTGGGCAGCTTGCTTAAATGCCTGACCATCCTTTCAATGAATAAATTTTTACTAATATACAATCTAATGGATATTATGAAAAAAATTCAATGGCACAACTTGAAGTCAGTTCCTTTCCTCCTATTGCTTGTTACCTGGGAGAAGAGGCCAACCCCCACCTCGCTACAACCTCCTCTCAGGTAGTTGTAGAAGCAATAAGCTCTTTCCTGAACCTCCTTTTCTCCTGGCTAAACACCCCCAGCTTCCTGAAAACAACGTGCTTCTGGCCACTTCCTCATCACACTTGTGCTCCAGATCCTTCACCAGCTCCACTGCCCTTCTCTGGACATGCTAAAGCACCTCAATGTCTTTCTTGTAGTGAGGGGCCCAGAACTTAACACAGGATTTGAGGTGCAGCCTCACCAGTGCCAAGTACAAGGGGATGATCACTGCCCTGGTCCTGCTGGTCACACTATTTTTGATACAAGCCAGGATGCCACCTGGGCACACGACTGGTTCATGTTCAGCTGCTGTCTACCAGCACGCCCAAGTCCTTTTCCACTGGGCAGCTTTCCAGCCACTCTGTCTCCCAGCCTGTAGAGCTCCATGGAGTTGTTGCGACCCAAGTGCAGGACCCAGCCCTTGGCCTTGCTGAGCCTCATACAATTGTCATGGGCCATTAACTGAGCCTGTCCAGGTCCCTCTGCAGAGCCCTCCTACCCTCCAGCAAATCAACACCCAACTTGGTGTCAGCTGTGAACAGACTGAGGGTGCCCTTGATCTCTTCATCCAGATCATCAGTAAAGATATTACACAGGACTAGCCTCAAAACTGAGCGCTCAGGAACTTCATCTGTGACTTGCCACCACATGGATTTATCTCCATTCACCACCACTCTCTGGGTCCAGTCCTCCAGACAGTTTTTTACACAGTGAACAGTGCACCTGTCCAAGCCATGAACAGCCAGTTTCTCCATAGGAGAGACAGGGTCAAACACTTCAGTAAAGTCCAGGCAGACAACAGCCAAAGTCTCTCCCTCATCCACTAGGCAGGTGCATGTGGTCATAGAAGGGGGTCAGGTTGGTCAAGCAGGATCTGCCTTTCCTAAACCCATGCTGGCTGGGCCTGATCCCCTGGTTGTCCTGTACGTGCTATGCGATGACACTCAAGATGATCTGCTCTGTGACCCTCGCTGGTACCAAGATCAGACTGGCATACCTGTAGTTTCCCAGACACTCCCTCTGGCCCTTTTTGGTAGATGGGCATCACATTTGCCAACCTCCAGTCACCTGGGACTTGTGCACTTAGTCAGGACTGTGATAAATGATTCAGTGACTTGGTGAGCTCTTCTGCCATATCCCTCTGTACCCTTGAGTGGATCCCATCTGGCCCCATAGACTCGTGAGCGTCTAAGCAATGTAGCAGGTCAATTACACATTTCCTCCTGGATTACTGGAGGATTCTACGGCCTGTTCCTGTTTTCTGGCTCAAGGGTCTGTGTATCCTGAGGGTAACTGGCTTTATTATTCAGCCTTTTCCTCAACCTTTAGGACTGCTTCCCCTTGAATCCCATAAAGGGTGAAGAGTCTCTTTAGCCCTCCTTTTGTTGCTGATGTATTTGTAAACAGGTTTTGTTGTCTCTTATAGCAGTAGCCAGGTTAAGTTCTCACAGGGTTCTTCTCATTTCCTCCTTGCATAACCTCACAACACCCCCGCAGTCCTCCCAAGCTGCCAAACCCTTCTTCCAAAAGCCATAAACTTACTATCCACCTGTGCTCCTGGGTACTAATGGCCTCCCTGACGCCAGGCCCATGAGGCACACCTGATGCTGGGCCATGGCTCACACGCCCAATGAATCAGTCAGGTCGGAAAAGGCCTCTCAGCTCATCGACCCCAACCGGTGACCGAACACCACCACACCAACTAGCCCACGGCACCAAGAGCTACATCCAGTATTTCCTTAAACACCTCCAGGGACGGTGACTCCACCCCCGCCCGGGCCCATTCCAATGTCCAAGCAGCTGTCCAAGGAGAGCGCTGCTTTCCCCGGGAAGCCCCACGCTGTCCCGGCCGGCACGGGGGCCAAGCCCAGTCCCGCACCCCTCGCGTCCCAGCAACAGGCTGTGAGGCCGCCGTGCTCTCTGCGGAGCGGCCAAAGCCCTCCGGCGGCCGTGAGGGAGAGCCCGTGCGCACGGCCGTGCCCCAGGACGGGCCCCGGCTGGAGCTGGGGATCCACCGCCCCTTCCCGCGGGAAGCACCGCGGGCGCACGCGCCACAACTCACTCCTCCGCCCGTCCGGGAACGCCGGGCACTTCCGCTTCCCCCGGCCCTAGGCCACGCCCCCCGGCCACGCCCCAAACCGGGCACTGTCACGATGCCCCCGCCCCTTATCATGGTCACGCCCCCGACTCGGGCGCGGCCCGGAAGCCCCGCCCCTTTGCTGTGGCCCCGCCTCTAAATTGTAGCCCCGCCTCTAAATTGTAGCCCCGCCTCTAAATTGTAGCCCCGCCTCTCCGCTGTAACGTCGCCCCTCGGCACCGCCTCCCGCTCCTCGGGCCCCGCCCGCGGCGGAGGGGGCGGGTCAGGCTGGCGGGGCGCCTCTCGCGGTTGGCCGGCGGGAGCTCTCGCGAGGGCTGCGATCCGGAAGCGGCAGTGGGGCGGTGGGAGGCGGCCAGGGAGGTGGCGGGCGGGGGGAGTCGCTGTGGCCGTCGGTGGCGGCAGCGCCCGCAGCAGCAGCAGCGCCCGCAGCAGCAGCAGCATCACCACCATCATCACCACCACCACCACCATCATCATCACAGGGGAGCGGCAGCGGCCTTGGCCCCGGCCCCGCCAGGAGGGGGTGCGGCGGCGGCGGCCCCGCGCAGGCTTAGCCGAGGCATCGCCCCGGCGTCGGTCGCGCAGCACCGGGCTGTAAGATGGCGGCGGCGGCGGCGGGCGGGGGCGGCGGCAGCGTGAACCCCTTCCTCAGCGACTCCGAGGAGGACGAGCCCGAGGAGGCGCGGGCCGGCGGCGGCAGCAGCAGCAGCACCGAGCCGGGCGGGCCCGCGTACCCGCAGCCGCCGGCGGAGGCGGCGGGGAGCCCCGAGGAGCTGCCGGGGCTGCGAGCGGCGGCGCCGGGCGATGCCGCGGCGGGGGCGGGGGAGCCGCCGCGGGTGCCGATGGATGCGATAGCGGCGCAGCTGCTGCGGGACCAGCTCTTGCTGACGGCGCTGGAGCTGCACACGGAGCTGCTGGAGAGCGGCCGGGAGCTGCCCCGGCTCCGCGATTTCTTCTCCAACCCGGGCAACTTCGAGCGGCAGAGCGGCACGCCGCCCGCCGGCGGGGCTCTGGGCAGCCTGGGCAGCGGTAGCGGGCTCGGGGGAGCCGGCGGCAGGGAGCCCGGGGCCGGGCAGCTCAGTAAGTGACCCCGGCTCGGGTGTGGGGGGCGCACTGGGCCGGGCGGGGATGGCTCTCGGTGCCGCCGGGCGGCCGGGAAAGGCGTTTGGCATCGCTCCTGGTTCCAGTCATTCCTTGCTTTCTGTAAGATGGGGCTGGGGGAGACTGTAGGAGCGGGCCGGCCCGGGGCTGCCAAAGGTGGCGTTACCCTGGTCCCGCAGGCGTGGTTTGTTCGAGTACCGTACCCCTGTGAATGTCACGAGTGTTTGCTAAATGTGGAAGAAATGCAAAGAGATGATAATTTCAGCCTTGATTCTTAGCGGTGCCTTCAGTGCCTACTGCCAAGAGATAAGTCATACGGCGCTAGGAGAAAGAGGGGGCTGCTAAGCCGTGACTGCTGCATTTAAAGTCTGAAAAACTGTCAGAAATGCGGTGTGAGATGTAAAAATGCGTGCCAGCGTGTTATTTCTGCTGATGCGTCCAAAGAGAGGTCTGAGTTTCACAGGTCTTGCACAACTAATACAGTGTTTCCTATAATTAATGCTGGCGTGTTTACCAAGTGCCTCCAGTCTTTGTCTCACCACGTTGGGATTTGCAGATAGGGACCAGTAAATAAACTCGGTTGGTACAACTTTAGGGAGCAAAACCGGTGCAGATACTGGGGCAATCGTCACATAGCTGACCATAAAAGCTTTTGAGTTTTAATAATAGACCACGTGGCTTAGGATAAAATTGCTTGTGTGTCTTGTCAGTGTTACTGTCAAAAATGTAGAGCTCTAAAAAGGAGGCAGCTTGTGGAAGTGGCTTTGAGAGAGAGAAGCTGCCCAGCCATCTGACCTCTGAGGACTTAATGAACTCGTGGGAAGGATTTGAAATGAAAGGAGTTGTGGATAGCAGACAGGTTAAAGACTTGCTTATGTGTATTCTAAGATACCAAAAGGCATTTTGTAAATAGGACTGTATTTTTGTTTCTTTTAAAAGTTCCTAATGTTGCAAAGACATGCAGTTACACTTAAAATTTAGAAATAACTGGTAGCATCTAGATGGCTGGGATAATCAGAGACATCTGAATTTTCAAGTTGTTAATGCATTTCAAGATCTTTTAAAAAATGAATGGCGCTCTTTTTTTTAATTCCTGCTGTGTTGTTTATATTCCAGTTATCTTCTTTATGAATAATTAGAATTTCATACTTGTCTTTGTCCAGCTGAGAGCTTCACTGTGGTCTTCTTCATGATGTGATTAGTGAATGTTGGAAAATCTTGTGCTTCAAGGCTTTGAACTGATATAAATTTCTCTTTCATCCCCAAGATGCTTCCTTGGGGATTCCGGGCAATTCACCCGACTGATTAAACATTCTCTTTTCTTTGTTACCATAATATGTTGTTTCCAGTTATTGATACTGCACATACTGCAGTAGAATTAGAAAAACAGTAGCCTGTGTAACTTTGCTATGCATGCACAGAAATGACCTTTTGCAGTCTTAGACCAATGGACATTTATGTGAGAACATCTTAATTATTATTTTGCTGACCTGCTAATTGATAGATGTCTGTGGGATGTCCCTATTAAAAAAAGGAGGGAGGGGGCAAGAGAGAGAGAGAGAGCGCAAGAAGGAGAGACTAACACCTGTTCTGGACGAGTTTAATAATACTGAAGTGTGCTAAAGTTAAACATCATGCTAGACTTTATGCTAAGGCTTAAGTGTAAGTGTTTTTCTACAACAAGTTAGGTTTGCTTTTCAAAGGAATTTTTTGTCGCAACAGTGATTCAAAAGGAGTTCACACTGAGTGACATTGAAAGGTGACAGATGCAGAACAAACGAAAAAATATTTTCATATAGTTTAAGTAGCTTTTTAACTCAGTGCCATCAGACTTTCTTGCAGTCAGGAGTCTAGCATTGAG